CGCCCAAAAAGAAAAATGATAATTATCCCACGCTCGAGGATACTTTACTCTCTCTCACACACACTACTTCCAGATACTTCCACAGAGAGAGAGAGAGAGGTGGAGAAAAGCAAAGTACGTTGCAGAGGGGAAAAAACAAAACAGTGTAGCAGAGAGCCATTAAAAGGGGTTACGGAAGGAGGAAAGAAGAAGAGGCAGCAGCAGAAGAAGAAGATCATACACTCCTTACACAGCTCGGAGACTTCGGATTGCCTGAAGTGAACACTACAGCAACAATCACAATTGCCGCCTGGATCGGTTTGAGCAATGTCGAGCGGTTTCGGGTTGCAATTGTAGGCTTTCGAGGGTTTGGTTTATAATTTTTTGGATCTGAAGCATTATCGTGTTTGTTGCCTGATTTGTTGTTTATGCGTAGGGATGAGTGAATGAGACGGCGGACGGAAGGAGAAGTAATGGCGGCGGCGGCGTCAATGGCGGTGTGGCTGATTGTGGCGGTAGTGCATTTGGTGGTTTTAACCGATGCTAATATGGAAGGTTCTCTTTGCTACTTGTTGATTTGATTACCTGCTTAATGCGATTCGTTTTTTCGATGATTGTTTGTTTTCATATTCTAGGTTTAGTTTGAGATTTTTCTATGGATCATTAATTTGGTTAGGTTTGGGAGAATTTATGCTTTTACTGGAATCTATGTTCAAGTGCTAACATTAAATGCTGTTGTTATAGTTTTAGGATTGCTGTATAGCCTTTTTTGGAATGCTTTTGTGGTTGTGAATTTTGGTTCCTTTTTACTGTGTTGCTGCTATTCACATTATTGAGTAATATGTCTTGACAGATGTCAAATTTGGTGATGTGTATTGCCTAATTTGGGGGTGGGGGGAGGATATAAGTTTTGGAATTTAGCTTATTGTTTGTTTGTACTGGAATGGATTGAATTTGGTTTGTATTGAATGGTATTAGGGAATGTCATTCGATACCGGTGATGCTGATGATGACATTCGAAATTCGAATTGAGTTTTTGGGATGGAATTGCACATTTTATGGGAGGATTGTATTTTTGGGATCTGAATTTAGGGTTATAAGTCTTGGGATTTAGCTTATTGTTTGTTTGTACTAGAATGGATTCGAATTTGGTCTGTATTGAATGGGATTAGGGTGTGTTAGTCGATACCAGTGACGCTGATGATGGGGTTCGGGTTGAGTTTTGGGATGAAATTGTACATCTTATGGGAGGATTGTATTTTTGGGATCTGAACTTCGGGTTTTTGTGTTTGATAGGTGATGCTTTGCATAGTCTTAGGACGAATTTAGAGGATCCGAACAATGTGTTACAGAGCTGGGACCCGACTCTTGTGAACCCCTGCACTTGGTTCCATGTCACTTGCAACAATGATAATAGCGTGATACGAGTGTAAGGATATGTTTCGTTTATGATTATCTTGTTTCAGCAGTGTTATTACGTTTTGTAGAACTCATTTGGACTTGTGGAATGATCTGTTTCTTGCCAATTTTGTTGCCAGCGATCTAGGAAATGCCGCATTATCTGGTCAATTAGTCCCTCAGCTCGGATTGTTGAAGAATTTGCAGTACTTGTATGTTACAATTACATTATTTTCATATATATATACACATATACATATACATATATTTTGCTAATACCAGCTTGTTCCTTAATTTATAGGACTGGATTGAAGATTATTTCGTCTAGTTTTTTAATAGGCTTTTCAAAACAAATCATTAGATTAAGGAAATTTTATTCTACTTATGGTTAAGCAATACGGCATAGTTTGAAGTATTGCTTATAAATGGAATACTCTTTAATTCTAGTTTCAATTTCAGCTCATTTTGAAACTCCAACGAAAACCTGCAAATATACTTAATGTCAGTTTGAGGACTTTTTCAAGATTTTCTTCTTTTAGATTTCATTTAGGAGCTAAAGCTAGATTCTTCGTAACTGTAAAGTTTTCGACAGAATATCAACATTTGATTTGTCTGTGATCTGCAATCACACTAACTCAATCTTACTCGTGCAATGCAAAGTATTGTATCATATTTTATGCTTTCTATTTATCACATCAACCCGTGCATACGCAAGCACACGTGCACTCACCTATAAATTTCAAAAGTTTGTGAGCTCAAACCTATGCAGTTAACTTATTGTAAGCTTTTTGTCTCAAATGATCTGACATCACGCCTGTCGGTTGCTTGGTTGTGATAGGGAGCTGTACAGTAACAACATTAGTGGGCCAATTACCGGCGATCTCGGAAATCTTACCAATTTGGTGAGCTTGGACCTGTACGTGAACAGTTTCAGCGGTCCCATTCCAGACACGTTGGGCAAGCTGTCAAAATAGAGATTCCTGTGCGTGAAGTTGTTAACGAACTATCGTAGATTTATATAAATTAGTGTTTTTTTTGGATCGCTTATTCTTATCACCAACAGCTCTCTGAATTTTTTTTGAGTTATGATTGATGTAATTCTGTAACGACTCGTTACAATTCAGGATCCTTACTGTATATTGTTGTTTATTCGTAAGGATAGCCGGTTAAACAACAACAGCCTGACTGGACGCATTCCCATGTCGTTGACAAACATCTCAACCCTTCAAGTTCTGTAAGTATTAATTTCTAAATAACTCATTGATTTACAGAATCCTGTTGTGCGTGTAACAGCAACTGTTTCTATCTTTGCATATTATGCAGAGATCTGTCGAATAATCATCTTTCAGGTGCAGTTCCAGACAATGGCTCCTTTTCTTTGTTTACACCTATAAGGTATAAGGCAATGATCATGGATTCAAGTAGAAACCTTGTTTGTTTTGATTAGCGTCTAACGTACATGATTGGCGTATTTGCAGCTTTGCAAACAACTTGGATCTATGCGGCCCAGTCACTGGACACTGAGATATTGTTGCAGTGTTTTGGAGTCTGTATCCGAAACCATTATAGCTCTTGTAACAGAAAAAGGTAACTGCACTAGAACCGGATTTCAATCTTTGCTACCCTAATTAAACATCATTATTTTGCTTTTATCGTTGTTTCAATAAATATTATGCAATAAAATAAATCTTCCGGTGAAATAGGAGTTTGAGAGGTGTCTTATTTCCATGCTTTTATGCATGTAGAGTTCAGTGGTGTATTTGAGTGTAATTATAAGTTTACACAGATGAACTTAGTAGTTTGGGTAGTTAGTAAGTGAGCTACTAACATTAAGGAGAGATTACGAGAGTTTAACATTTACGTTGTGTTGAAAGTTATGTGTCAGTATCAACATTTACGTCGTGTTGAAAGTTATGTGTCAGTATGTATGGTGTTTAATTATGTGCAAATTACATTCATATTATTGTCTTGGTTGGTTGGTAGGTGCCCATCACTTGGATTTGCGACCGGAAACTGCCGAGGATCCCGACTGGCTGCTGGAGCAGAGGGCCGTCGAAGTCAAGTTGATTCTTCAGCATATTGGTGGATTCAAATTTTAAGGTATGTTGCTTCTATAATTTGATAAAGTTGACATCATATTTAGCAAAAAAAAATGTGGCAATTTCAGGCTGATGTTACTCATTCCAACACGCAAAAAATTAGTGCATTTTTTGCGAGGGACAGAGTAATATCTTTTGGTTTGTCTCGGGTTGTTTTAAAATTCAAGCCCGATAGGCCCGGCCTGATTCTGGATTGGGCTTGAAAACCCAAACCAAGGCATGACCCGGTTTCAACTTATACCGGGCCAGGCCAACCCACATTTTTTATATTAAGTTTTAATTAAATTGTGTGTTTTTTTTTTTAGTTAGAAAATAAGTTATATTAGTTTAAATTGACATACTTAGGAAAAAATATGTTTATTGATAATTAAGAATTTAAAAAAAATTAATGCATACAAGTCCCGGGACGTAAACATGATTCTATTACTATATGCAAGAAGCTAAAATAAATGCAAAGCATACATGTAAAAGAAAAAGAACGAAATACTCCCTATTATATGTTCGGTGGATCATCCGACCATTCTCTCGTATGCATATAAAAAGATTTCAAATAGATATTAATATATGTGCATAGGAAAGAACAAAATTATATAATAACCACTTACCATGGATTTGAAATCGAGATCGAAGGATCTTTGTTGATCCCCTCGTCTCCACATAAACTTTACCTATAAATTAAAAACACTTAAAAATAAGTTAGTATAAAATATAGAAACAAAATAAATGCATGCATGTCCCGGGACGGACGTAAAAATAAATCTGTTTCTATTTGTATAATGCTAAATTAAATTAAATGCATAAATGTAAAAAGAAAGGGACGAATTACTCCCTATAATGTATTCGGTCGTCCGATCATCCGACCACTCCCTCTCTATGCATCTAAAAAGATTTAAAATAGATATTAGTATATATGTATAGGAAACAACAAATTATTATTCAAATAACTTACCTTGGATTTGAAATCAAGATCGAAGCATCTTTGCGGATCCCCTCGTTTCCACATAAGCTTTACCTACAAATTAAACACACTTGAAAATAAGTTAGTATAAAATATAGAAACAAAATAGAATGCATGCATGTCCCGGGACCGACGTAAAAATAAATCTATTTCTATATGCATAATGCTAAACTAAATTAAATGCATAAATGTAAAAGGAAAGAGAAGAATTACTCCATGTGATGTATTCGGTCGTCCGATCATCCGGCCACTCCCTGTCGTATGCATCTAAAAAGATTTAGAATAGATATTAGTATATATATGCATAGGAAAAAATAAAAAAATGTTAAAACCATTTACCTTGGGTATGAAATCGAGTTCGAATGATATTTGCGGATCCCCTCGTCTCCCATAAGCTTTTCCTACAAAATAAAAACACTTAAAAAAATAAGTTAGTATAAAATTTAGGAACAAAATTAATGCATGCATATCCCGGGACGGACGTAAAAATAAATCTATTTCTATATGCATAATGCCAAATTATATTAAAGGCATAAATGTAAACGAAAATTAACGAATTACTTCCTCTGATGTGTTCGGTCGTCCGATCATCCGGCCACTCCCTCTCATATGCATCTAAAAATATTTAGAATAGATATTAGTATATGTATGCATAGGAAAAAATAAAAAAATTTTAAAACCATTTACCTTGGGTTTGAAATAGGGTTCGAATGATATTCGCGGATCCTCTCGTCTCCCATAAGCTTTACCTACAAAATAAAAACACTTAAAAAACAAGTTAGTATAAAATTTAGGAACAAAATGAATGCATGCAAGTCCCGGGATATGCAAGAAAATAAAATAAATTTAAAGCGTAAATTAAAAGAAAAAGTAGGAGATACTCCCTATTATGGGATATCCTTCGAGTTCGAAGGATATTCGCGGATCCTCTCGTCTCCCATAAGCTTTACCTACAAAATAAAAACACTTAAAAAACAAGTTAGTATAAAATTTAGGAACAAAATGAATGCATGCAAGTCCCGGGATATGCAAGAAAATAAAATAAATTTAAAGCGTAAATTAAAAGAAAAAGTAGGAGATACTCCCTATTATGGGATATCCTTCGAGTTCGAAGGATATTCGCGGATCCTCTCGTCTCCCATAAGCTTTACCTACAAAATAAAAACACTTAAAAAACAAGTTAGTATAAAATTTAGGAACAAAATTAATGCATGCAAGTCCCGGGATATGCAAGAAAATGAAATAAATTTAAAGCGTAAATTAAAAGAAAAAGTAGGAAATACTCCCTATTATGGGATATCCTTCGAGTTCGAAGGATATTCGCGGATCCTCTCGTCTCCCATAAGCTTTACCTACAAAATAAAAACACTTAAAAAACAAGTTAGTATAAAATTTAGGAACAAAATTAATGCATGCAAGTCCCGGGATATGCAAGAAAATAAAATAAATTTAAAGCGTAAATTAAAAGAAAAAGTAGGAGATACTCCCTATTATGGGATATCCTTCGAGTTCGAAGGATATTCGCGGATCCTCTCGTCTCCCATAAGCTTTACCTACAAAATAAAAACACTTAAAAAATAAGTTAGTATAAAATTTAGGAACAAAATTAATGCATGCAAGTCCCGGGATATGCAAGAAAATAAAATAAATTTAAAGCGTAAATTAAAAGAAAAAGTAGGAGATACTCCCTATTATGGGATATCCTTCGAGTTCGAAGGATATTCGCGGATCCTCTCGTCTCCCATAAGCTTTACCTACAAAATAAAAACACTTAAAAAACAAGTTAGTATAAAATTTAGGAACAAAATTAATGCATGCAATTCCCGGGATATGCAAGAAAATAAAATAAATTTAAAGCGTAAATTAAAAGAAAAAGTAGGAGATACTCCCTATTATGGGATATCCTTCGAGTTCGAAAGATATTCGCGGATCCTCTCGTCTCCCATAAGCTTTACCTACAAAATAAAAACACTTAAAAAACAAGTTAGTATAAAATTTAGGAACAAAATTAATGCATGCAATTCCCGGGATATGCAAGAAAATAAAATAAATTTAAAGCGTAAATTAAAAGAAAAAGTAGGAGATACTCCCTATTATGGGATATCCTTCGAGTTCGAAGGATATTCGCCGATCCTCTCGTCTCCCATAAGCTTTACCTACAAAATAAAAACACTTAAAAAACAAGTTAGTATAAAATTTAGGAACAAAATGAATGCATGCAAGTCCCGGGATATGCAAGAAAATAAAATAAATTTAAAGCGTAAATTAAAAGAAAAAGTAGGAGATACTCCCTATTATGGGATATCCTTCGAGTTCGAAGGATATTCGCCGATCCTCTCGTCTCCCATAAGCTTTACCTACAAAATAAAAACACTTAAAAAACAAGTTAGTATAAAATTTAGGAACAAAATGAATGCATGCAAGTCCCGGGATATGCAAGAAAATAAAATAAATTTAAAGCGTAAATTAAAAGAAAAAGTAGGAGACACTCCCTATTATGGGATATCCTTCGAGTTCGAAGGATATTCGCCGATCCTCTCGTCTCCCATAAGCTTTACCTACATAATAAAAACACTTAAAAAACAAGTTAGTATAAAATTTAGGAACAAAATGAATGCATGCAAGTCCCGGGATATGCAAGAAAATAAAATAAATTTAAAGCGTAAATTAAAAGAAAAAGTAGGAGATACTCCCTATTATGGGATATCCTTCGAGTTCGAAGGATATTCGCCGATCCTCTCGTCTCCCATAAGCTTTACCTACAAAATAAAAACACTTAAAAAACAAGTTAGTATAAAATTTAGGAACAAAATGAATGCATGCAAGTCCCGGGATATGCAAGAAAATAAAATAAATTTAAAGCGTAAATTAAAAGAAAAAGTAGGAGATACTCCCTATTATGGGATATCCTTCGAGTTCGAAAGATATTCGCGGATCCTCTCGTCTCCCATAAGCTTTACCTACAAAATAAAAACACTTAAAAAACAAGTTAGTATGAAATTTAGGAACAAAATTAATGCATGCAAGTCCCGGGATATGCAAGAAAATAAAATAAATAGAAAGCGTAAATTAAAAGAAAAAGTAGGAGATACTCCCTGTTATGGGATATCCTTCGAGTTCGAAGGATATTCGCCGATCCTCTCGTCTCCCATCCTCTCGTCTCCCATAAGCTTTACCTACAAAATAAAAACACTTAAAAAACAAGTTAGTATAAAATTTAGGAACAAAATGAATGCATGCAAGTCCCGGGATATGCAAGAAAATAAAATAAATGGAAAGCGTAAATTAAAAGAAAAAGTATGAGATACTCCCTGTTATGGGATATCCTTCGAGTTCGAAGGATATTCGCCGATCCTCTCGTCTCCCATCCTCTCGTCTCCCATAAGCTTTACCTACAAAATAAAAACACTTAAAAAACAAGTTAGTATAAAATTTAGGAACAAAATGAATGCATGCAAGTCCCGGGATATGCAAGAAAATAAAATAAATGGAAAGCGTAAATTAAAAGAAAAAGTAGGAGATACTCCCTATTATGGGATATCCTTCGAGTTCGAAGGATATTCGCCGATCCTCTCGTCTTCCATCCTCTCGTCTCCCATAAGCTTTTCCTACAAAATAAAAACACTTAAAAAACAAGTTAGTATAAAATTTAGGAACAAAATTAATGCATGCAAGTCCCGGGATATGCAAGAAAATAAAATAAATTTAAAGCGTAAATTAAAAGAAAAAGTAGGAGATACTCCCTATTATGGGATATCCTTCGAGTTCGAAGGATATTCGCCGATCCTCTCGTCTCCTATAAGCTTTACCTACAAAATAAAAACACTTAAAAAATAAGTTAGTATAAAATTTAGGAACAAAATTAATGCATGCAAGTCCCGGGATATGCAAGAAAATAAAATAAATGGAAAGCGTAAATTAAAAGAAAAAGTAGGAGATACTCCCTGTTATGGGATATCCTTCGAGTTCGAAGGATATTCGCCGATCCTCTCGTCTCCCATCCTCTCGTCTCCCATAAGCTTTACCTACAAAATAAAAACACTTAAAAAACAAGTTAGTATAAAATTTAGGAACAAAATTAATGCATGCAAGTCCCGGGATATGCAAGAAAATAAAATAAATTTAAAGCGTAAATTAAAAGAAAAAGTAGGAGATACTCCCTATTATGGGATATCCTTCGAGTTCGAAGGATATTCGCCGATCCTCTCGTCTCCCATAAGCTTTACCTACAAAATAAAAACACTTAAAAAACAAGTTAGTATAAAATTTAGGAACAAAATTAATGCATGCAAGTCCCGGGATATGCAAGAAAATAAAATAAATTTAAAGCGTAAATTAAAAGAAAAGGTAGGAGACACTCCCTGTTATAGGATATCCTTCGAGTTCGAAGGATATTCGCGGATCCTCGCGTTACCTTGTGCATCTAATAGCCTAGAACATAATGAACAATAATATATCAACAAGTTGAAGAATAATAATACCGAATAACTTAAGAAATTACATGATTTCAAATGAGGTATGTATGGTCTAATTAGTCAATCAAGATAAACAAACTTTCATATTAAAATCTTGAGTAATATATTAAATCAGAGATTGAAATTCAAATTACCATTTATGGTTTCCGGAACAGCCAAAGCAGCTTCTTGATCTTAAAACAGGAAGGATCGATCGATGCAAAATGATAAGCAATCGTAAGAACTCAAACTCGCAGTACATGGAGAATTAAAAGAATCAGAAATGACTCACCAAGATTGCTTCGATCGAGATCCAAGAACACTTGACCCTCGCCCTCTCCTGTAAGCAGCCCCACCCCCACCTCTTCGTAATTCATTCCTCCCCACCCCTGCCTTGCCCTGCTCCAAGGCCAACCCGTACCCCACCCCTGCCTCTTTGTAATTCATTCCTCCCCACCCCCCCCCCCCCCCTGCCTGCTCCAAGGCCAACTCGTACCCCACCCCCACCTCTTCGTAATTCATTCCTCCCCCACCCCACCTCTGCCCTGCTCCAAGACCAACTTGCACCCCATCGCATTGCAGCCCCTCCACCCAAATCATGAATATTTATAATGTATGGGTTAACCCTACTTACCTTATATAATTATAATAACGGCTACTTACCTTATTTAGTTTTTTTTAAATTTATTTGAAAACTTACCTTATATAATTATAATAACGGCTACTTACCTTATTTAGCTTTTTTAAAATTTATTTGAAAACTTACCTTATATAATTACAATAACGGCTACTTACCTTATTTAGCTTTTTTAAAATTTATTTGAAAACTTACCTTATTTAATTATAATAACGGCTACTTACCTTATTTAAATCTAATAACGGCTACTTACCTTATTTACCTTTTTTTAAATTTATTTGAAAACTTACCTTATTTAACTTTTTTTTTTAAATTTATTTGAGAACTTTTTTTTAAAATTTATTTGAAAACTTACCTTATTTAATCTCTTACCATAATTTTAATTTTTTTTAAAATTTATTTGAAATTTTACCTTATTTAAACTTTTTAAAAATTTATTTAAAATTTTACTTTATTTAAAAACGGTAATAGCGCTCTCTTATATTTTCAAAAACATTGTATGAAACTCATTTTTATATTTTTTTGTGGCGAGAAAATAATTTTTCATTTATATTTTTTGCATGAAGGGTTTTCATATAACATTTTTTAAAGTATAAGGAAGCGTCATATAATTTTTTAAGTATGAGGGAGAATTTATACTGAATTTCTAAACTATTGAAGAGTTATAGACAATTTTGGTAAAAAAATAAATGTATATATGTGAAAAATGAGATGTATTTGCATGTATTATGGGTGTGTAAACGTTGTATTAAAGCTCTTTTTTAGTTGCATCGTTATATAATGACGTACATGGCTTATTACTGTTATTATCTTTTACATTAGATTCACAAGAAAAAAAATTTGTTTAGTATGAAAATTCAATTATTTGCGAGGATAAAGAAATTTTTTTATAATGTATAAATTAAATACAGTCAAAATAATAATTTCGATCAAGAAAGTTTTGATAATAGTAAAAAATTGAATAAAAAATAAGTGGTTTATAAAATATAAATAAAGGCTCATGATTATAATAATTTGAGTAGAGAATGCATTTTAATGTAAGTTTTTAAATGACAAATAAGAGTTCAATATTGTACTTCTTAATTTATTTATTTTTTTAAAAAAAGTGATTAGTATTTTTATGAACAATACAAAAGTAAAATTAAAATCACAAGTAATCTACAATAACTGAAAGAATGAGGGTCATATAGTCCCATAAGGAATGATCTGGTGGTGTAGGGGTTGACGTGTGACCGTGAGGTGATGAGTTCAAACCACGAATCTCAGGTCACCTATCATAGTTTGCAGGGTATTAGGTTCGGTTGAGGGATTACCAGTGTGCATTTTTTCGTGACGATTGCGGGTTCCCACTTTATAAAAATAAAATAAAATAATGAGGGCCATATATGTATATGTATATATGTCTATGGCCTTGAAAAGGTCAAGTTGGTATGTGGTCCATAATATATATAACCATAAGTTGGTACGTAATGTTGCATCAGTAGTACTTGCTGGACCATTTTTAGTCATTGTCAAAAAGATTTTTTGGTATCAATTAAGATCAAGTTTATGTACACATACAGCAAAATTAATAAATAAATAAATAATATTGCCAACTACTCGTTATTGGCCATTCCCTTCTCAAGGTGGACGGCGCTTCCCTTCTCGACTCTAGCATTGCCACCGCAATCGCAGATCACAATTTTTCCGGCGACTTTGGATGGTTCTAGATAACCGAGATAACAATATCAACTTCCGCAGTCGGCAGCGTAGACCAATGGATACAATTTGTCCGCGAGCGCCTCGCCGGAGTAGAGAAAAACGCAGCCTTATATAATTCCGTTTTTTGATTGGTGCTTCTATGTTGATTGATTGTATACAATCATGTTCGGTCCAAATGTTACGTTAAATACATTTATATCTATCTCAGCAACTATTGTTAAGTTTGTCGGGATATGATTAATATACTTTATATTAGAGTTAAAATTAATAAAATTTTCTTTTATTTTAAAATAAATATTCATTGATTTTGGTATAATGATACTTAGTTTTAATTTTTTTATCGATTATATTCTTTCGTTTTAAATTTAATATAATTTTTTTTATCAATTTTATCTCAGAAGTATTAATGTTATATTATAATAAAAATAATTAAGACATTTTTAATATTTAAAAAATATTTATTTATTTTGTACTTAGTCAAAACAAAATATTAAAATTATCCTTAACATATCCACTAAACATATTCATTATTCCTTCCGTCCCATAAAATTGGTCTCTTTCCATTGGACACGAAGTTTAAGAAATAGTGTATTAAATGATTAATTATTTTGATTAATTTATATTAAATATTTTTTATTTTGAAATTATTTTTTTTTAAAAAAAATATTGTATCATTAGTAAAACAGTAATAATGTAAAAGAAAAATAATTTTATTAATCTAAATATAATTAAACAATAAAAACTATACAATTTTTAATTTTAATAATATTTTATATAAAATTATTCAAAAAGTAAATGCAAACAATATAATTTAAAACTGAATTTAGTTATCAATAGTGATAAATACAATAGATGAGTCACAAAATCTTAATCACAAGTTCTTAATAATATTCTCTCCATCCGGGAAAATTGAATCTCATTTTTTCTAAATATGCATAATATATTATTTTTTCTTACAAAATACAATTAAATATTTTAATAATATTTTTACAATTCTCAAACCTCATACGCCTCAGGTCACCTGCCACACATGGTTCGCCTAATGTGACTTTTCCGTCGGGTCTGGTTTGCAGGATATTAGGTTCGGCTGGGGTTTACCCAGTGCACACTTTCGGGTAGTGGCTGCGGGTTCCCACGTCATCAAAAAAATAATAATAATAATAAAATCCTAAGAAAAATATTTATTTATTTATTTTATTAAAATCCTAATATTCAATCAAACACCCTAATAAAAATATATAAATTTTAATACAAAATATTCAATCAAACACCCTAATAAAAATATCCTAATATTTTAATAATTCTCAATTGAATATTTGTTTTTTAATTTTTTTTTAAGAAATAAAATATAAATTCTAATACAAAATATTCAATCAAACACCCTAATAAAAAATAGTATTTGATATGTTTAATGATTAATATTATTAAAAAAGTATATCCAATATATATGCACATCAACATAATCTATATATTCTACAAACTTATCAAACTTTAACAATTTAACAAAAAAATATTTTTTATATTATCAACACACTTCTAAGTAGAAAATATAAAAAAATATCTCAAATTAAAATTACAAACAAATATTCTCTTCGCCCCACCTTAATATATACATCTTTCTATTTTTCATCTGTATACATTTCTTTTTTTAGTAAGTATGGATCCCTATCATACGCAAAAAAGACAGACAACTATTTTTACACTATTTTCAACTATTCACTATAATTAAAATATTACTCCCTCGTCATTCAATTGTGTCCTTATTTGACCATACATGAGTTTTAAAATAGATAAAAATAAAAAAAATTTACTTTTTGGGTAAAGAAATAGTAAAAGTGATATTTTTTTACTAAAAAACGAAAATAAATTTGGATGATAAAAAAAAAAAAAAATGATAATAAAATTAGACGACGACGGAGGAGGGCATATTCTGGGCCGATCCATATGAACTTCGTTGCGCAACCTATCTTGATTGGGATGGTCGGTTGAAATGCATTTGGTACGGGACTGGTTCAAAAATAGTTGGGGCAGTTTTAAACTGGGTTTGGATGGGCTAGTCCAAAGAAAGGTAGTTTTTATGAGTCACAGTTTAATACTACTCCATAAATAACAAAACCATATCCATCCACTCCTCTCCTCTCTCTCTCTCTCTCTCTCTCTCTTCAAACTCCACACAGACAAGACAAGATCGTTTTTTCACTTATTACTTTCTATTTTTCACTTTGACTAATTTGTAGACAGACAAAATTCCAAAATGGATGATAGTTTGAGCTGAGCCAGAGAGAGAGAGAGAGAGAGAGAGAGAGCGTACAAGATTAGAGCTGCTGCTGCTGCTGCTGGTGGTGATGTTATTGATGAAGCGAAGTAGAGGAAGTATGTTGATTGAACATGTAGGTATCGTGAGATAGCGACTGCATCACAACATAAATCAATCAATCAATCGATCCAAGTGTGGTGGTGTCGTATTGGAATGAATGAATGAGAGAGACATACCTGTTCTTGGGCTCGGAAATACATGAAAGGAGTGTAGTGGAGGAAGTTCGACACCCGAGACGTGTATATATCAGCATACCTGCACTCAATATAATATATTATATGAGTATAGTATATTTATATATATATGAGCGGGCGGGGCACGTACTTCTCGATTTGTTTCATAATGTGGCTTTTGTCCCATAATCCAGCTCGGGAAAGAAACCCCCACCTGCTTCGTCCTTCACATTAATTGAACAAGATAATAAATAAATAATTAATTAAAAGCAAGCACCACCTCTTATTAAAAAGCTCCCCATCAGACTCCATCAATGGAGCAATTTCCCGGTCCAGTCTTTTCATCACTATTAGAAGCTTCCTCATGCTTCCCGCCAGCTCCCTTTCATCCATGCAACTTGCCGCAATACTCTAAACCAAACCAAACCAAACCAAACAAGGTTAATAGTAATATGAATACAATATATTGACAACATAGAAGAAATAAGTTGTGTTACCTGTGCAGGGCGGCCTTTACTCCGTCTTTGATGAGCAAGGCGGAGTTGGCTAAAGAGATCCGACAGAATCTCCTTCTGGTTTATAAGCTCTATTAATGTGGCGCGATGAGCTCGACTTTGGATCAAAGCAGTATACTGCATCAACATAACCAATTAATTTGTCTCAACTTACAACATTACAATCCAATGTTATAGCAACTAATGTGCGCGCTACAAATATTATTTGCTGAAATTAATTAATTTTAGTAATAGCCATTGAAAACCTCTTCTTCTAGCTCTCGGCATATCAATGCAGTACGCCATCGAAGATGAACTTTAGATTGGCTGACATCGGTATATATATGATCACCAACGTATAGAATTTCGTCTCCGTGAATACCAAGCGAATCCTCAACCATCTGCGCACTTCCTCCAGAGTACACCCCGCCTATAGATCAAAAAGGTCATCCAATTGTTTGAATTACGGAAAGATACGACACAAAATTCATAAAAAAAGAGAGTACACTAAATTTTGAAAAAGCAAATGCAGCAGCATTTGATTTAAATCCTAATGATGATTACGAAAAACTTTTCATATGAAGACTAAGGAAGATAACCTGGACGAGCCTTGAAACATGGGCGCATGAGACCTTCACCAGTCACTACTTCGTACATAGGGTGCGACATTTGGAAGAACTCCGGCTTCCTCGCAGAGACTATTACCTATAAAAACAATCAAACACGGCACCATAAAAGTACATTGGTCGTGTCTTCATGTAATCCGATGGTAAGGTTAACTCACCATGTCAAACAAGTCCCGCCAGGTAATGTTATTTGGAAGAAACCTATTGAAAGAATATTGCATCATCTTTTCAGTGTATTGGTAGTCGGAGTTAGTGATGAGAAAGAGTCTTTTGCCAGCCTGTTGGACAGCGTCAAATTTTAGTAGGGCTAAAACGAGATCAATCGGAGATAATTATGTCAGCACTAGAAGAAGATTGTTACCTCCCTCTGATCCAACAGTGCTAAAGGCAGATCGGGATCAGGGTTTACAAAGAGTTCAGGGTTGGACATAATCTCACTCTACAATAGAATCCATTGATTAGATAATATTTCGGTGCAAGAGCACGTTAGAAAGTTAAAAATGCAAAAGACAACCTTCAGCCGGCCTTCAACATGTGCCCTGAATAATGCTTTTCCAACGGCCTGAATCAATATCATGAAGTTAAAGTGTTGTAATACGTCTAGGGTCATAACATTGCACGTAATATTTTTTTAAAACAGACCTTGTAAAGTCCTTTATAATCGAGGGGACTGAGATCAGCATCCATAGCACCCTCATCAAGCCTATCTACCAACTGTGAATTAAATACATTCAGTATATAAATATGCAAAAATAATAAATTCACGGCTACAAAGTAATGCCAATGGAAGCTTAAAATGTCAAACTCTAATCTGCCATGTATAACCACATAACTCACCTAATCAAGCAACACTTTTAGCTTCCCCATTAATTGTGCTTCCATGATAATTTAAAAAGATATGATAAAAGTTCTGATCCCAAAATTAAATTCTCCTAACCATGAGAATGAAGAACTTTTACATTCAGATCTTTAGGATTATCGTCAAAAAGCTAAAATGTGTGATTACTCGCACAGTCACACTGCTAGTAAAAAAACCAATGAGACTTCGAACTGAGATATTGCATGAAACTTCAAACAAGCAATTTTAAGACCTTAATTTTGCAATACAGTAAGATCTGAAAGATCCTTTACCTGCATATATGCAACTGCCTCTGAGACAGAGAAGGATGTGTTTAGAAACTCCCAACGACTTTCTTCTCGTAAATCCACAAGTTCTCTTCCATACATCTCACTTCAATTCAAAGATAGCCAACATATTTATTAAGCAAATAAAATCTTTTAATTCTCACAACAGTGTACAACAAACCAAAGGGAGGGCATAAAGTAAACAAAGAGACTGTGTGCTGCATATTCTCAAACAACTACCTGTGCTACAGTTGTTAAGAAAATCTCCTTGGATCCCAAGGGATGAAAACTCAAATAAACATGAAATAAACAGATCTTGTTAGCGAAATCAAGCAAAATTATAAAGTTTCTTGGGAATGGATGGCTGCTAGGAAGATATGTCACCATTTACACATAGTAGATTATAAGACTAATTGTTGCCACAATCAAAGAGAAGTTTGAAACACACCTCACTTTTTGAGTGGACAACATATTGGTTCCATGCATAGCCCTTTTGATATATCCAAATCGATCTGCTTTTACTAAATTTCCCTTCTCTTTATCTATCACCAGGCCACGAATCACCTAGAAGTGCATTGTAACAGGAGAAGCTCTAATGTCAATTGCAAAGTACACATCCTTGTGATATTTTGATATGGAAGAGTAGACATAACACGTACCAGTTCTGGGTCAAATGCAAGCCCCTCAACAGGAAAACCCATATTTTTCAAAATTTCCATGCAGTAGTCATAAGCCCTTCCCTCCCAGGCCTGCATAACACACGAACAATATCAGTTATTCAGTGGTGGTTGTTTTTCCTTTTTTCCTTTTGGAGGATGTAGCATGAAACTTTCGAAGCAGATTAGCATTGATGAGTTTTAAATTTACTTTAAACCAGTGGCTGGATGTACGGTAGAGTGTATTAAATATAGTGTAAGCTGTAATTAAAATATATATATATATGATCCAAGCGCAGAAAAGGAACTATTTCCTGGTTGGTTCTGGTCCAGTGTTAGAGGAGAGTTTACTTACCATAATATCATAATCCGTTAACGTGTAGTCCATGTCGTATCCAATGGCAGAAATTGATCGAAAATTAAGTGTTCGGCTGCAGAAGATGCCACGAGGCGAATATCTAACAGAAAAGGGATCCTGCCAGATGGTTCAAATTCAGAAGAATTTAGCAACACTAGAACTAATGAATAATAAATAAACAAATCTTGCAAGAAGAACATTTTTAGAAACTAGATGCAAGATCATTTAACTAAGCCAAGAACATAATATTTTGAGCAAGAAACAGCTATCATGTGATTATGATTAGTATCTATGGTACCGAAACAACTATGATCCATTTTAGTAAAAAGTTACAGAACTGCACTAACGGTAATCGAATCATTCAGTAAATCAACACAAACATACTTCTCATAATCATTGCAAACTTATTAAACATCAAGAATTCACAACATCATGACAAATAGGAACTATTGGTACCAAGTCCTCATGTAAAACTTCTCATGCAGATCTTATTATACGAACAGCTACAAGTAAAATATCATATATCTGATTTTGTTGCATACCTAAGAAACTTCAACGCAAAACCAAAAACCTTCTAACCACAGAAATCACAGGATAACAAGAAAGGCCAAATAAGAGAAGATTTAATCAAGAAAGTAACCGGAATGCCTATGTGATTAAGCAGTCGCTCGACTTCCTGCATTTCCGTTCTCGCAACTTCCTCAATAGGTCCATTGAGACCAGCCTCTTCACCGCAAATTCCTACAAACACATTCCACTCAATATCTAACATTCTATTCACTTTTGTTACAGATTAATTAAACGATATTCACCTGGATTGAGAATAAGGTCGCCTTTCGTACTCTCCCCAAGGTAGTCAATATCCGCCTCGCTCTTCGGCGTCACGGAGAAAAGGTCGCCGTTCTCCGCCGTAGCGCACCGAGAAGTCGTTTTTGTAGCATTAAAAAAATGCGACAATTGAAGCGAAACAGAGGATGAACGGAAGCACAGATTGTTAGTTCTCCTCCGCCCCAAACTCACATTTCCGTTCATGGCGGCGCCGGAGGCCGACGTCAAGGCTGTCGCCGCCATCCCCAAATCTAGAATCCGATGCTAATCAATCGAAAATCGACGACCAGATTACAAATTCGCGAAATCGCTCGCTCGTGGTTGAACAGAGAGAGAATCTATGCAACGAAAAAGAGTCCGCATTCCGGTGTTCTTACGGAAATTGAAACAACTCCGAGGCTTGTATATATATACCCACAGGCTCACACACACACACGCGTGCGTGTATGTGTGTGAAACGGCGTACACCTTTAAAACCTGCAAATTATTTACTATATATATAATTATCATATTTGTAATTGTATTAATTTGTTACAACATTTTGCACAATTTTATCATATCTACTGGTAGACATGCATTTTAATATAATTAAATAGATTTATAAAAAGAGTTAAAATATATAGAGATTTCATTTTTTCCGCATAAGCAAACAATAAATAGTTGAGTGCAATAAAAGCTTACTATAACTAATTTGATGATTTTGTTATGCATTTAATTCATTTCCATGGGCGTTTGAATTTATTTATTATAATCAGCTATTCAAACAACGGTAACCTATTTCAAATATTTTTTTTATTTGTTTTGGATTTGCTCTTTGGTTTTGCAATTTAATTTTGGTTTTTACTTTAATTAGTAATTATAATTATATATATATATACATATTATAGTAAGAAATTTATTATATTTTTATAAATTCAGTAATAAAACTGAAAAAGAAGATTATAATTTAAATGTAATGAAATATTGTAGAAGATTTATTACGATATTTTAAATGAGAAATAAATATTAATTATAATACTTTAAATGCAAAAATTATAATTCAGTTATCATCAAAGATATGCTTATTTTTATTCTTTATTTCTCCACAAAATATATATAGTTTCATTTAAAAAATAATTTTTATATATGACATTAACATCTACACACCCGGTGTGTCTATCTAAATAAAAAATAGAGACTCATTATTTTTTGAAAAAAATCGTTCATGATTAAAAGATTGAGCTCATTCTCACAGTAATGAGGACAAAAATCAATAATTCGGGCTTCAATCAAACTCGAATTCGGGTAGCAATAAGTGAATGCAACTAGAGTTGAGCGAAATCAAGTGAATACATCGCCTAAATTGTTATATTGTTATAGGACACGTGTTAGTTCCGTCAACAGAACTAACTAATTACCCATAATTGACAGCATAACTAAATTTTAAGTTGATTAGTAATCTTTAAGAATGATATATGATAATTTAAAAAATAAGGATACATGTTGAAAATATATTAATTTTAATAAATCGGATCGCCCAGGAATAACTTATTTCATTAATGTATCAGGCCAAGCCCAGCCCAAAAAAAATTTCGGATCTATGTCTTGAAGTCCAAGCATAATTTGTTCTGTCAAAGTTCAAATTGTATCTATTTTTAAGAACTTTAACTGAAAAATAAAAAACACATTCCAATAACTCAAAACTCATCACTACAATAATTTACCACCAAATGGCACGTTACGCCAATACCCCAAAAAATACATCCCCAAATTCCCAAATCACAAAACCCTAATTTCATCTCCTTACTATTTCTTTTCTTTTCTTTTTTTGAAGACAAACTGAATAAACAACAAACAAGACTTTGCAAACTGCATTGCAATCTACAGAGCTATATAGCTAAGACACCCCCACCCTACCCCACCCCACCAGCATTAGCACTCTGTTTCTAAGCCTGCATAGATGTTTCATACCTTGTTGTCATCGTCGTCATCATCTGGTTCCGAGGATTCATGCTTTTGTTGGGAGCTTCTGGGGATGGAATGGCTGCGTCGCTCTTTGCCACCGGGTTTGGAGGAGGCATTGCCGTACCAGATCATTCCGGCTACGGCTATGATCATGCAGATGACCACTTGAACGTTGAGACCCTCTCTGCCGAAGAAGAGGAATCCAAGGATCAAGACGAGGATGGTCTTCATGTGGCCTATGACTTGGAAAGAAACTGCTGTGAATCGCCCTATACAGATGAACTGGCTTAGATTCGTGCCCACGGCTATGCTGCATGACAGGACAATGAACACCTGCAGAAGACATTGACAGATGAAATTCAACACATTTAGACATCATCGGCAATTTTAGCACTCTCTTCATCCCATTTGAATGGATCATTTGGAGTTTTACAGTAAATTAAGAAATAATAATATTTGATTGATAAGTGAGAATGTGTAAGAAGTTTTGATATTTTTACCCTTTGAGTGGAATATACAAAAATGGTAAAAAAAGTACTTCTAATCAAAGTCAAGCTCACTAGATTACATAAACGAGCTACGATTGAGCTTTATCTATTCCTCTCTCTGTGCTATACTTTTTCAATTTTGTCAGTGCAAACACAATATATATACCCTCTTATTTTTTTCTAGTAAATATGATCTCATTACACATTATAAATATCTGCAAGCTTATACGTATTTACGTCAATATTATTATATTAAATTAAAACACAAGAACAAACTAAAAATCTTTATATACAAAAAATACCCACAAACTATTATAATATTTTTTAAACGGAGTCATTCTTTTTGCACCCAAATTTTGTTCTTCTATTATCAGACTCTATGTTTTGTCTCATTAACATCACATCAAAATATTATTTAAATTAAAATTCAAATAAATTAAAAAAATAAAATAAAATAAACTTAAACACAAACCATAAAAACCTTCTATTTACACATACATTTTTTAGCTTTTGACACTATTCAAACAATAGTTTTTTTTTTTTTTTCTTCAAAACTACCCCATCAATTACCTAATTTCTCTCATAAAACATTAGCTCAAAATTTATTTTTTTCCTATTTTCAATTTTTTTTTTCAAAACTCCAAAAATCGCTGTCTAAACAAGGCCAGTTAATCACCTTATTGAGCCAAGTCAACTCAAACTTAAAAATTTTGAAGTATTTCTTCAAGCTTTTCAGTAGTTCAGCTCGCATAACAACTCCAAATACAACACATAGCAGGCGCACACACATATGAGAAAGAATTTTGAGGACTTACCACAGAAGCTAAGTTGAAGTTAAATCCACCGATTCTTTTGTTGGTCAGCCAATAATCGAGAAAGGGGCCTACGATCAATAATGATGCAGCCTGAGCCGGTGCGGTGTGCCCCAGGAGGTTGAAAGAGCTTAGGGAATACTTCCTTTGAAGAAAATGAACATACTGCAAATGCATATAACAACAAACGTAACAAAGAAGATACCGTAAGATAGTAAACATAAGTATAAATATTCAGGTAAAAAACTTGGGGAGTAAATGCATATAACAACAAAGATAACAAAGAAAATACCGTAAGATAGTAAACATAAGTATAAATATTCGGGTAAAAAGGATTCTTCTAACTGAAGTAAATTACTGAGCAGAAATCATTCCTACGCAAAAACTTACATACTGTTGCAGAGACGTACTCCAGACTGCAATGAATGCGGCAACGAAGCCTTTCGTATTAACACTGACGTCAGTAACTGTACACACAGCAACTCCAAGAAGAACAACTAAGATGCTAAGCTTTGTGTCTCTTGAATATCGAATATGGTCGAACACTACCTCCAAGAAGCAGGATACAGGTATCATACTCAGCTTGGCAATCTGTAAATAATTCAAGGAGATCATATCATATCTACAAAAAGGTAGGAATTGCGAAAAGATAGCTAATACAATCTAGTCGAGTCTTATAGGAGGGAAGAAATGCATCAATGAGTACCTGGTAGAATCCCACTGAATTCCACATCAAACTGACGTTCATTCCGACGATAGAGAAATTTGCAAACAGAACAAATTTCAGAAGCTCCTGAAAAGGCAGATGTGAAGCTTGGATGTAACCGAGCCACCTAAGAACAGCCGTCATCAATGTGGTGGTAGCAAAATGCAAACCAGTTAAGGTTGTAGCTGCGCGGAGTGTAATAATATAAAAGCTAAAAACTCTGCGGAAACGAAAATGCAAAACAGAAGAACACAGATGAAAAAACTACAGCATTAAGTGGCAATTATAATAGTAAGCTTCACGATTTTCAAATTCTGACAACTAATGCATACAATGCTTGCTATATTTATATAGACACTTTTAAAGCTTTTGATACTATTCGTCAACAATAATTTTTTTTTTTTAAGAAATCAAATAAAATTATTTTTTTTTCTCTCACAAAATATTACATCAAATATCCAATGTTTTACTATTTTCAAAATTTTTCAAAACTCCATAACTTTCAAAATTTAGATATAAACGGAATTATCCCCAAAAGTTCAATGGATCTTTAAAATAATTTGAATCATGTATTTTTCCGTTGCACTAAATTGCAATTATTCGTACACAAAAGGGAAGATCAAAACTTCAATAAAAGAAGAAATCAAAGAGTAGATTTTGTTCCATTTGGTTAAGGAACTCACCAAAACTGAAACCATAAGTAGCCATCAAGGCTTTGTTGACGATAATTATCCCAACTGAAGTGACAACATTGAACATCCATGCGGCCACGTCCATTGCAGCCTTCTTATCAGCTTTACTTACGGGCGGCGCCATTATTCCCTATTATTATTATTATTTTACTTCCGATAGTTCGACGGATGGAAATTCTACCGGCTAGGACATAAATTATGCTTGGTTTTCCTGAATCAATCAACAATATAACTGTGAAACTCGATGCACAATAATAGCTGAACCCAAAAATAAAAGAATCAAACAGTCAGATGTGATTTCTTCGTAATATTTCCAAAGAGAATCATCTCATTCAGGTAAACAGGTTTATTTCATTTTGGAACAGGACAACAATATGACATATACATTATATACAATATATATATATATTTCTTAAAGTAGCAAAGTAGACATTTGATCACATTATTAAGAACACGTATAGAGATAGACAAAAATCCTTAAATCGCATAGAGCCCTGTCTATCAGATTGCATCCACGGCACAGTGAATAAGTAAGTACACCATATTCATCAGAATCCAGCAAAGTATCAAAGCAAAAAAAAAAAAAGTTTAAAACATCTAGGTTTTTTTTTTTTTACTTCGTCAAGGCAAAAACCAAAAATTCAACGAATTTCAAAGCTAAACCAGATCTAAAATCGTCAAACCCCAAAATGCCCTTTGATCGCACACGTTGCCACAAACAAACCGCAATTACTCCTCAAACAACAGATCCAACGGCATGAAATTAACTAAACCTGCCAAAAATAATCAAACGCGCATTGGCGCACACATTGATCACGCATCACGGCAATAAGAACGCGCCTCCCCTAAGCCGGCAGAGCAAGCAAAAAGTGCATTCCTGGCGTGATTCCTCAACCTCCTTCATATCCACACAATCACGCCCATAAAGCTAGTCAAACGTGCTTGCATGTGATGCGTACAGCATACAGATGCACATCCACGAGCCACTCACGCCATTTCTACAGCGCGGAATCCAGCGGAGCGCGCCAATTTATCGATGGCGACGAATCGCGATTTAGGGTTTGACAGAAACAGAATTGGGAATTTGTCAGGTGAATTAGACTATGCCCCCTTTTGTTTGTTCAGCCATTTAAGTAAATGTTAGACCCTTTTTTTTTTTTTCCATTAATAATGGCTCTGTCACGTTTTTAAATAATTTCATTTTTATCGCGTGTCTGTCAAATCATGAAATATATTATTTTAAATTGTAAATTTAATTTTTTTTAATGATTATTTAAAATTTATTTCAACTTTTAAATTTTTCTAAATAAAAATTGTATTATTATAAGAAAGATATCATTTTTTCCATAAAAATTTGCTCAATTTTTTTGATATATAGATTAAAAAATTATTAGTTTAATCTCCACTTATCTCACCTAACAAACATATCATTGAAGTTAAACTTAATTTTTGTTAACTTTAAATTATCCAACAAGATTTATTTTTTAGTGAAGTAAGTATTATGCGTGGATAATTTGCAATATAATCAAATGTGGAATGTTGGGTATTATATCATAATCACGTTGACATCATTTTCTTATATAGTTCCATTTTTTGTTTCTAGTTTATATATATATATATATATATTGAGAAATTGAGATAATAGAAAATTTATACTAGCAAAAATATATAATTAAAAGAAAAAAAAATCCAACATAAAATATGAATTAACTGTGTATTTGCTCATTTTAATGTTTATACAAGTGAAATAAAAATAAAAAATAAAAAAAAATTATCTATTTATATTAATTTATATGACTCAAACAAACAAAATAGATAAAAATGCCCCACCACCATTTCACCACAAAATTAATAAAAACAAAAACATACAAAACATAAACCAATCACACCCTTCGAATTTAAATCTTAAAGTTCAATATTAATTTACCATTTATTCCCCAAATATAACACAAATTTAAGCTGCAAGAAAAACAGCAGAGGGCATGAAAACTTACTTGAGAACGCAGCTGAGCGACGTACATTCCGACGCCCTACAGCTTACTTCTTCTCGTAAGGCTGCCCATGGCCGCCGCCTTCCGCCGGAGAGCGAACTTCTGCACTTTTCCGGTCGACGTTTTCGGCAGATCGTCCTCGAACACCACCGTCCGCGGCGCCATGTAATGCGGCAGCCGGCTTCGACAATATTCGATAATTTCATCGCCGCTCGTCATCCCGCAACCGTCCCGTAGCTTAACGAACGCGCACGGCGTCTCCCCCCAGTGTTCGTCTGGCCTCCCGACGACCGCCGCCTCGACAACATTCGGATGGCTATATATAACGGATTCAACTTCGATCGTGCTTATATTCTCCCCGCCGGAGATGATTATATCCTTCGATCGGTCCTTCAGCTCTATGTACCCGTCGGGATGTTTCACCCCCAAATCGCCGCTTCGGAACCACCCGCCCCGAAATGCCTCGTCGGTGGCCTCGGCGTTTTTGAAATATCCGTTCATGATAGTATTGCCTCGAAGCATTACCTCCCCGATCGCCTTCCCGTTGGGGGTTACGCTTTGCATTGTAACGGGATCTTTGACGTCGAGCTCTTCCAACCCGACATGTTGCACGCCTTGGCGGGACTTGAGTTTCGCGCGTTGCTCTAAGGGTAGAGCGTCCCATTCGGGTTTCCAAACGCATATTGTTCCGGGGCCGTACGTCTCCGTCAAGCCGTACGAGTGATTTACTTTGAATCCCAATTTTTCCATCTTGAAGAGGACCTGCGGCGGCGGTGGTGCGCCGCCAGTCATTACCGCCACCTGTAGGAAGAAGTAAACGCTTACGTTATAAAATTCAGCCCAGTACCGAAAATACATAATTTTGTGTTAACATAATACAAATACTGCCTCCTTTCCACTCCAAAAGAGCCCTTTGGAGTTTTATAGTAGATGGAAAAATAAGTATTATTGGTCAATGAAAGTGTGTAAGAAATTTTGACATATTTGTCCATGTGATTTTATATATAAAGTAATTGTATATGTAATAATAGGTTGTAATTTAGGTAAAAGCTAATGGTAGTTTGGTATTAGTATACGATTACTTCTACTAAAATAGAGAGGCGAAATTGTTCACAAATGTCACTTTATTTTAAAAATTGTATAACGTCTACTTATACTTTAAAAAATGTTGCATGAAACCCCAGCTATGAAAAAAAAATATAGATAGGAAATCATCATAGTTTTCATAGAAGTCATACAACATTTTTGAAAGCATAAGGAGCGCCATGCAATTTTTAAAATATATGAAAATTTGACGCAAAATTTCGAAATCACAGATAAGTTATAAACAATTTCACCAAATAGAAAAAAAATACTTTAGAGTGAGATGAACGAAAATGATAAAAAAAAATGGTACCTTTGAGTTAGAACCGAGGGAGAATAACTGTAATATATAAATTGTTCGACTAGCTGTAATATATAAATGATGAGGTTACTCGAAAATACCTGTCTCGGAAGGGGCCTTTGATCTTCGGGAGGTGCGTTGACGATCATGTTCAAGACGGTGGGCGCGCCGCTGGTGTGCGTCACTTTATGCGTGGCAATGCTGTCGAAGATTTTCTTGGCCGTGATGTTCCGTATGCACACATTCGTGCCTCCTTGAGCCGTTATCGCCCAAATGAGACACCACCCGTTGCAGTGGAACATCGGGACGACCCATAAATAGACCGGCAACGAATTCATCTCGTTGAGAAGAATGGCCGACACAGAATTCAAATAGGCTCCCCTGTGGCTATACACGACGCCCTTGGGGCTCGACGTCGTACCGGAAGTGTAGTTAAGCGAGATCGGGTCGCACTCGTCGTTGGGTCTTACAATTGCAAAATTGGGGTCTCCTCTCGCCAATAGCGACTCGTAGTTGTCGTTTATCCCGGGCCGTATCGACATCGTTTGATTATCCTCTGGAATTACGACTAGATGGGGCAACTTGATATCTTTCTTCGACATAATCTCGAACGCACCCTTGAGAATACCGAGAAACTGGTAATCGACAAATATAACCTTCGCTTCGGAATGGCTCAGCAACACCGACACCATTGCGGAATCGTGGCGAATGTTGAGAGTGCATAGGACTGCCCCGGCCATCGGAACGCCAAAGTGGAGCTCGTACATTGCCGGAATATTAGGGGCCAGCGCAGCAACCTGGTCGGAACAATAGCATTTATATTACACAACTCGATCATACATTCTAAGAAGATGATAAAATCAAACATATTCAACACACACCAAATCAAACATCCCCGAAACTATCTATGGAATAATTTGATCAGTTAATCTCATATCCCATAGGAAGCAAATTCCATTTCCATCGGATTTACGAGCATTTGTTCGATTTATAAACAATGGAGAATTCGAGCCTATACGAAACTAATTTTAGGATAGCTTACAATTCATTCATTAACTAACTGTAACAAAGATCAGTTAACAATGTCCAGAGCAATATGAATTAAAATACTCAGATCGATCTAAGTTCAAATTAACCGAAAACATTCTCTAGATCTACAGCACTGTTTGATTGCTTTCAAAACATCAACAAACACAAAAGAAATGAATCAACCAAAGATGTAAGAGTTTAAAACTCAATAATTAATGAGTAGTTGGAAGTAAATTCCAAAAAGGCTATTCAATTGTTAGTTCCTACAACAAAATTGAAATTTAAATGCAAACAAAATCAAGGAAGATTCAGAAGCAAATAAAGCACAGCCACTCCTCAGATCCCTATCTTGCAATTAATGTCGAGTAGCTTTGATTGAACCCTAAGAACAGTACCAAAATGGAAAATTCACAGCACCCAAAAACAACCACACTAGTTGCGCCGATAAATATAATCGATAAAAACTACACAAGATTCAGATATAAATAACAAATCAAATAACCTAATAGCGAAGCAATGCAGAAAAAATTGAAAAAATTAAAAATAAAATAAAAACATAGAGGTCTGGAATGAGATCTCACAACTTCGCCTCGAGAAATTCCGAGCGTGGTGAGTGCGGAGGCGAGTCTAACGCACCTATCGCGAGTCTCCTTCCAAGTGAACTTCAAATCGCCGTAAATAATGGAAGTCCTGTCGCCGTAGACAATCGCCGACCTCTCGAGGAAGCTTATCGGCGTGAGAGGAACATAGTTTGCGGAGCATTTCATGGTTCCGTTCTCCATAGATTGATCGTAGGGTAGGTTGCTGGGCTTCTGCCTCTGCTATCACTCACATATAGCACTCGTGGAGAAGAGAAGATAGACTTGGCTGCTTTATATGGCACTTTCTCTATGATTTTATAGGAGCTCCCGGGACCACAAGGTCACCCTGCACGCAAGCAGGGATTCACCTGGTGCTGGGGTCCTGGGTGCTCGCACAAAATGTGTAAGGCCTTGGCACGTTTTTTTTTATCTTTAAAAAAAAAATCATCTAAAAATATAATATTTTCAAACAAAAAATTAAAAATTAAAAATTAAATAATTTTGAAATATAAAAAAATATTCTCGACCCACCACAATTGACACTATTTTCATTTTTTTTTTTGTCTCATAATAATTTATACCTTTCTATTTGTGATAAAAATTATTAAATAAAAAACATATTTAACAAATATAAATCAACTTAATTAACTACATAATATACAACATCGACCCACGTAGTGCCCACTCAAAATTCCTTTATTTCTATCTCTCTCCTAAAAAAAATATTTTTATCTATATTTAAAACTACAAATCTTTTATAAAATTAATTTATATTAATTATAAATAAACAAAAATATTTTTTATTTACTTGTATTATAGAAAATTTTATTCTCTACGAAATAATATTTATATTACATATATTTTTTAATTGCTATATAATTTTTAAATATTTTAAACATATATTTTAATTTTTTTAATCATATATATCAAATTTACTTTAAAACTATAACTATTATTAATTATATAAAAAATAATATAATAATATCACTAATTAAATATTACCACCTTAAATACCGTATCGCTAATCAAATGATTCAATTTTGATGGGACGGATAAAATATTATATAATTTTAAATGTTAAATATTATAAATTAAATTTAATGTATGTATAACCAAATATATTAAATTAAAAGAATAAATAAATTATTAAAGTATTCAGAGTGTGGGGGGGATCTACACTTTATTATACGCAACCCACTGCCCTGATTTTGTGGCTTGAATTGAATATTGTTGGCATAAATATAGTAATATATTGTTTAATTGAAATAGTACGCCTTTGTTGTTATTAACACAGACGTAACAGATTGTTTGTTCCAAATTATATGCCACATTAAATTTCGTTATGATTATATCAGCTTATTATGTTAAAATTTAAAGGTGGGACTAAATAATAATTTAATTTTTGTATAGGATTAATTTTGATAATTTTTTTTAATAAAATTATAAAAAAAAAAAAAAAGAGGTGTGATTGGAACTAAAATTAATTTTTACTCAAAATAATAATAATAATCATAGGTGATGTAGGATTGCCACTAAGTAGTGTTTTTATCCCAATTCAAAACCAATTTCCTACTCTTACCCATCACTGCTCATTATTTTCCCATAACACAAACTGTATTGGATTGCTCCTTATTTCAAAACTATACTCAAACCCAAGGGGTCACCGGAGTAGGATTCCGGCGACCGGCAGGCTACCGGAAGTAGCCGTAGAGTTCGAGGAAGCACGTGCTGAAGCACCACGGATTGGTGGAATCTGTTGTAGGTGCATTCAGCACGACCCGGAAGTACCTGAAGGGCAACAAGGCATTGGGGCCGATGATTGGCCATGATGCAAATTGCCCCGGCTTGCAGATGGTCTCGTCTCTCTCGTGCACTCTAAGGTTGGTCCAGTTGTGGCCATCCATCGAGCCCTGTAAGCTCCAGTCCCGGATGAAAGACCTCGACCCGTCCTGCCTCAGCGTGTAATAGTTGCACATTAACTGCAGGACAGAAACGGGCGTATATTTGTAAGATGAATTGTGTCTATAGTCCGCGAGTAAATTATCCACGTAATTTAGATTTATTATGAACGAAATGAGAACATTAAATTTGTGGTAAGCTTTTCGACGAATTCATAGTGTCGTACATATTTTGTGTATGTTCTTTTACGAGTGAATTATGCAGCAAAAGTTATATATAATACTTTCTTCGCCCACTTCAAAAGTTGTCATTTTTTATTGTCCGCCAAAAGAGTATCTTTTTTTTTTTTTAGTAAATATGGACCCGCTTTATACTTATTTGCATCAATATCCTCGTAATAACTTTATATATCATAGAAGTAAAAATAATCTTTACATACAAAAATATCATACACGGGCCGGTTAGAATGTTGATTAGTCCGGTGCTGATTAACCCTAGAGCACATTCTATGTGAAACCTAATTAGGGCGTTCATATAATATATAAGTGATACCATAACATAACATAGATCTTATGCTAAACAATATACTATGAGAACTATTACCATGTGTTTTTAAATTTTGTATTTGTGTTATGTTAACATGCACCTTATAGTAGCTATTCAGGTTATATATTTTTTGTACGGAATTTAATAAATATTGCATCTTTGAGTTCAAATGAAATCAGATTGTCGATGTTAGAGCGGACAAACCTGATGGCCTTGGCCGATGTCAACCATCCACCATGCGGTGTTTCTTCCATCTTCTAGCCTTGGACCAGCGAAGGACATGCCCTAAGACACGACGGGAATTTGTATTAATATTCAATATGTAATTAAGGTGGTTCTTACGAGTGTTTTATATACTTTTACCGTATTATACGATACATATTAGAATCTTATATCTCTCCAAAACACATAAAGCTACTTATTTTCTACCAAAGCATAGCATCCACCACCCATGATCGATTTATAACATTATATTAAAAACCTAAACCTAACACAGGTAGTTCTCCGTTCTTGGGTGGAAAATGCAGTACCTGATAACAGCGAGAGACTAAAACCTTAGGATCGGTGAATCTGGAAAGTGGGCTGCTTGCTGTAATGGTTACTTTCTGCAGTTGGAAAAATCAACCCTTCATATTTTTTAATTGAGTGGCGAAAAAAAAAAAAACAAGAGAAGCTACAAGTTTACCTTGCATAATACGGGATTCACCCACTGATGCTCTCCATAGGATGTGCCAACAAAGTACAGCACACCGTTGCTATCTCCATCACATATGTACTGGAGTTCCTTGAAACTCGATCTTCGGTGCCGAAATTTACTAAGAAACAAAAGTTGATCACCGCCAATTACTACTGATGTTATCAAAAATGTAATTTTTTTTTCATTTGTTCATTGTGACACAGGCAAGCTATATTTTTTAATCAAAATGACTCCTGCGCAAGAACATTGATAAAGAAAATAAGGGAATGATCAGTAAGCTTACCTCAAGTCTTTCTCAGGTCCGGAGAGTCCAAATGCCTGATAATTGATGGCGTCTTTCACCTGTTGAAAATGGGTGGAAATAAGTGACTGTTCAAGGGGACTTTCGGGTAGATATTTTTTATGTACTTTAACGTACCAGATGATTGAAAGATGGCAGGTGCAGGCTAAGATTACTTCTCTCTAACTGGAATTTATGAAAATTTTGATGCTAAGTAAATGGTTGAACTGATTATCGTGCACACGGTTTATAGTTTAATATAATTGTGAATATATGAAATACCTTTTGAAGTACTGGATGCGGAAGCAATGGAAACCGTACAAGATTTAAAAATTCCTCAAGTGAGTAGAGCCTGTCACCGAAAAGTACCTCAGCTGTTGTATTTAGTAACATTTCATCTATTCTATCCCATCCAAACAATTCCTCTGCTTTGCAACACCAAAGTAAGATAGCAACGAGGACTCGCTCTTCGGAAGTTACTGTCAACTCAGGATGCTGCAAAGAACAACTGCAGACTTAAGGCTTGCAACGAATATTCTTGTAACATAGTATTATCTTTTTATATATGATTATCTACGTAGTGAAGGTATATATATTTAATGAGAAACTGTAAATGGAAGCTCGTATATGGTTAATCGGTCACCTGAAGAATATTCCTAAATGTAGCTTCGTCCAACAAGACAAAGTCGATGCTGGCAGATGTACAATAATCAAAATGCATAGAGAATTTTCTCTCGCATCTTTCTTCGATCAATTTACATGCAGGAATGGATGAAATCACTTGCAAAGTTTCGCAAACAGAGTCCTGCAACAAATTTCAGAAGTTAGGCGATAACAATTAACGACCTAAACACTGTGCCAAAATTGTCCGCTGCCTCGTCCATTTAACTTTGTCATATTAGAAAAACTTGGTATCACCTTCCTCCACTAGAACTCCATCCCTGCATATAATATATAGAGATGAAAGGTATCAATATTTCATATTTATTTTCATAACTTGGTTCTGTGTGTTCGATACTGCACCATTTTCTCCCATTCTTTTTTCTACCCATTCCAAAATCAAGAACTAGTTCAATGAGAAACTAACAGGGGATATGTATAACATTTCAACAAAAACAGGTACAATGTTACCTCGGAAAGGTGCTCTAGGAGCCTTTTACAACATTCTTGATGGAGAAGAGAAACACCAAACTGATCTGCCAATAGAAGAAGCTGAAGTAAAAAGATATCATTGTCGGCAACATCTTCATTAACTTCTCCAGTATACATGAAATCCAGCATGATCTTGAATGTATCATAGCATACATCCCTCAAGCAGATTTTTGTGGACATACTCTCTGTCATTCCATTCGTGAACATCTGTGCCCAAAAATACATCACATCATCAACCCTCCCACCATAATTAAGCATACCAATCATATTGTAGATATTCCAAAATCCATTCCAGATGCTGTTTACTAGTAATGTCTTCTAACTTCTATATGGTTCTATCAAATTTGATAGTAAACACTATAGAATTTTATAAGGAAGCTCGTTGTACCTCTCAACATCCGTCATAGAGATAAGAACCTATAACAGGGCAAAAAGGTGTCTCAGATATTTTCCTACCTTTGTAAAAGCAACACTCCATAAGCCAAGGATGATTCTATGTGATTGTGAAAGTAGACCACAGCCTTCAACATAAAGCTCTACATCACTGTACTTTCCGCTGTTGCGTAAGTCATTAAGTCGTTTGACATCGATAGGTAACTTGCTTGGAAACAGAGTATGACAATTGAGACGGTAACTTGGAAATGATATCTCTACTGCATTCCCGGATTCGAAGAGTTTCTTATTCAGTTTAAAGCGCTCCATCATTTCATCACACTGTTTTGCAATAGTACATACTTCAAATCTTAAGCTCAGAGCTTTCAAAGAAGAGAGATGTGATTCAGGAACCTGCATCGGAGATGCAAACAAGAAGTGTTAGATAAATATACATAAGCAAAAATCAACATTACAAAGTATATTGCTGATTTGTGATAGCCGTAGGTCAGATTTGTTAGTAGAAATTCTACAGCAACGGGTAACAGCTTGCCCAATAACATGTAATGTTCAGGTTCACCATCAGCATCCAGCTAAAATAATACAATCATTAAAGTAGAAGGTGAAAAGATGGAAGAATTCAAATTGCTGAAAAAGGAGTTATATCTGCCCTTGCATCTTGATGATGATATCCCATATTATTATTTAGATACACATCCCCACACGACGATGATCAGTGCCCTTAAGATCTTCTTCTGGCTCTTATTTCTTATAGTATTGCATTTAATTGACGAATGCAACTAGAAAGATAATGAGAATTATATGGCAGGTGTCAAAATAAAAACACAAAGTAACACCTGCAACTGACCTTGGTTTTCCCTGTATAGATATATTCAAGAAGTGCATGGAATATAGGGTAGCAAACATCTTGAAGGTGTATGCAATCTTCGCTCAAATTAAAGTTTCCTGCAGCAGCCAATACAACTTTATGTGCTGGCACAGCCCTTTCCTCCCTTCCAACAATGAAAAACACATCAGATAGTTCCCAATTCTCTAGAAAATTCTCAAGTCCCCAGTTCTCATAATCCCCACTATCTTCTTCCAATCCTTCATCATCAGAATCTTCCATACTGCCAAATTCACTGCATTCAACATGCTTCCAGAGAGAGATGTGGTTTTGTGTGAGGGGCATCACATTAACATTTCGATATCCTACGTGTCTGTCCCAACTGCTAAGCCCAATATACTGAACACTGCAATTGGGGTTTGAATCCAGCCACTGAAAGACAAGATTCTGGAAAGGATACCTCCCTTTGCCAATACTTATCAACCCATCGTATATGCTGATCCAATAACTTTGAAATGTTGAAGAACAATGTAGATCAACCCCAGCAACATCCACAACAGTTTTTCCACTAACCTCGATATTCAATCTCTTGTTTCTATGGCTACCAATAATCACTGTGTAATGTGGACTGTTATCCTTTTTATAATGATAATGTTGACTGCCTGCTGTTTCCCTGAAGACAATTGTAACATCATTGTGGGCAAAGGCATCAAAGGCCACACAGCCTCTACCAGCTTCCTTAAATCTCAATTCATCATGCCAAGCACATTCAAAGGGAGCTACAGTAAGAAAATTCTTTTTCTTTTTCTCCATTATGTTTGAGCAATGTGTTTCAGTAATTGCCATGGAAATCTCTGCAAAACAATCACATTCTATAACTACAACCCGAGAATGTAGATCAAGTAATTGTCCCATATATGAGCAACATACAAACTCATTCAAATTAAGAATAATCAATGGCACATCTAACAAGGAAAGTAAGGAGCTATCCATTTTAGCATATCACATGCCGGGAAGTAACATAAACCATCAACCAGGGAAAGAAAAGAGTACACAGTTGTTTTTGGGCAGTCACCTTCCAAAAGATCAAAAAAAGGTATTTCACTGATCACTACTATTCTTCTAGGGTATGTATTTCATAAACCTTATAAGCAGTAAACACTAAATCCTCATCCAAAAAAAAAAATTATTAAGAAATCCCTTTCACAGAAAGAAATCAAGTGCAGAACAAAACACAAGCTAGAAGGATTCCATGAACAAAAATATCCAGATTCTTAAGACATATAAACAATTTAAATTCATCCATACCATACTTGGAATAGATTTTAAGGTTTTAGCAGACACAGAACCATACTAGTCGAACCATTTATCAATGTTTTTTACATGTACACACCAAGAAATATTCAGTAGATTTAACAGTCTTAGTTACAGAAGTGATTGCAGAAAGACTACAAACCTCAGAACTCACGAAACCCAAAAGTGGATAAGGGAATTGTACTTAGATCGATCCTCTATTATAATTCAGTCTAATAATTGAAAGCACCAAGCCCACAAGAGGACCAGAATTTATAGGAGTTGACAGAGATCACTAAAAATATCAGACAAAATCATGACAGAAATTACACTATCATCTGAAAGGAAAAAATGGGCATAAAAAGATCTTCATTTTCATTGTCCTTATCCTTTTCCGATTTATATATATATATATCCTGAAATTTCCAGAAGACTGCCAACTCCAGCAAAAAAATGATAAATAAAATTAAAAGCCCTAAGCCCCACAGAAATTACTGCAAATATCCAATCCCTGTACAAGTTGAACGAATCCTACACCACACTCTGATCCAATCACCAAAAAAATATCTTCGAATACGAGAAACAAATAAATTATCGATAAACAACACGTCAACAATGAAAAAATCATTCAGATAACATACAAAAACAGCCGCGAGCACATGCGAAAATGCCAAAGCTGAAGATCCGATTGAAATATGATCTCGAATTAATGGATATGATCATATGAATATGATACGGTGAAATAAATAGAGTTGATTCGCAATGACAAGTTCAGATCAGATCGTGATCAGGGGCGGAAGGCTAGGTGGTACTGACTCCCAGGCAGTCAAAATATATGTATCTTTTAATATAAAATAAAATATATATATATATATACTTTTAATTTGTTAATATTAATTTTTTATTTTATAAAAATTTTATCCAAATGTATATTGATTTATATTTTTTAGTCTTTAAATTTTATTTTTTTATAGTAAAAAAATATTAAATTTTATATAATTTTATTAAAATTTTTTAATTTTATTTTATATTTTACTGCAATGTACTATAAATAAAAAATATATATATTGAATTAATAAAAAAAATAAAATCAATTTTGCCCCGAACTTTTAGTGCTGTTCCGTGACTTGGTCTCGTGATTCTTGAGATTTCCGCGGTCATTGCAGAATTCGAAAGTGGGAGTGGTGCGGGAATCGGATATGTATGATAGATTATTGCTTGCTTGCTTGCGTGGATTGGAGTAAGCAAGGAAGAGTCTAGAACATCGCTGCCCATTCGTTGAATTAGATATTTTGGGAGTGAATACGCAGACCTGAGGAAGTTCTGCCACGTGGCGTCACGTGGTACGCGTGGCGGATGGGTGGGTTCACTCTTTTGTTTTGTTTTGTTTTGTCGTTAATGTATTGTCAAATCAATTTGCGATTATTAAGGTTGCACTTAAGGATGTGGATGTGGTTTGGTACATAAAATGGGGATTTTGTGGCTTCGTTTCGCCCACAGTTTTTTTGATAAATTAATTTTTGGTATATAATACTATAAATTGTGTAAAAAAATAGATAAAATATATTATTTTAAGTTGAATATATTAATTTTTTAATTGTTTTCATGAGTATTTGATTTTTTTTTTACTTCTAAATTTTTATAAAAAAATATTTTATACTGTTTATTACTTTCTTCGTCTCACATCTCATGTCACTTTTTTTTTTTAGAAAATAATTATTCATTTTAATCTTTTTTTCAATTTTTCTAATTAATATTTTTTAAATTTTAATTAAATTAATTAGTTATTTTAATTTTAATTTATAATCATTTATATTATAAATAAATTATTTTTACTAATACATTTTTACTATATACTAATTATATTTACCCTAAATTCTCATGTCTACGGTGACCAAGACAGCTATTGTGAGACGGAGATAGTATTATTTTTGGAGAATTGCAATTGAAAACAATTGTTGACAAACAAAGCATGTGTTTCTTTAGGGTTTTGCATGTACAATTACATCAGAATTTCTAACACGAAAAAAATGTCTGGGCTTAAAAAAAAAAAAAAAAAAAAAAGGTTAAAAAAGTTTTTATTGTGTCCGACTCGAGTTATCAGGTTGTGCCTAAGACTATCAAGGCGGGTGTTCTTGACCCGATCCAATTTGTAAATTAAATATAATTTTTTTAGAAAATAATTTTTAAATATATTTAATAAATAAAGTTATATAAAAAATAAAAATGAAAAAATTATTTTTTGTTTCAATATAATTAAAATTCATCAATTTTGGTTTCAATATAGAAATCTTATCGATTTAGTATCAATATAACCAAAACTTATCATTTTTTGTTTCAATATAAATTTTTTATCAATTTTAGTCCTAATATAACCAAAACTCATCATTTTTCTTCTCAATATAATCAAACCTTATCTTTTTTTTTTCTCACCGTCAACAAATCGACGAAAAATATCGACGTGGATTTGCAAGATTGTGCAATTTCTTCAAATATAAATATAAGGTTTGATTTCTTTTCACATCAACATTTTGTGTTGGTTGGTTGACGGTGGGACAGGAAAAAAAAAGATAAAGTTTGATTATATTGCGACAAAAAATGATGAATTTTTGTTATATTTAGACTAAAATTGATAAAAATTTTATATTAGGACAAAAAATGATGAATTTTGGTTATATTGGGACTAAAATTGATAAAAAAAAATATATATATATATATATATTGAGACAAAAAATGATGAATTTTGGTTATATTGGAACTAAAATTGATTAAAAAAAAAATTATATTTGGACAAAAAATGATGAGTTTTGGTTATATTGGGACAAAAATGATGAGTTTTTATTATATTGGGACCTAAATTAATAAAAAAATTTATATTGTGACAAAAATTGATTAATTTTGGTTATATTGGAACCAAAAATAATTTTTTCCCAAAATAAAAATATAATCTTGGAGCCGTACTGGGGCCTGAATATTCAAACCTCCCAATTTAAAATTGAGTGTGTCGGTCCGATCCAAAAATATTATTGGGCTGGGCCAATACCGAAAAACAGACTGACTAATTTGCCACCTTTATGTACAATGTCTAAATTAAAATATACTTAAATTGTTTTTTATAAGAATATATATTGAAAAAGAAAAAATCAAAAGTGATCCTATAAAAATTATAAAGAATTAATTTTAGTTTAAATATAAAAAATTACATTTATTTAATTTACAGATTTTGAATTACTTATAATACTCCAGTAAATTTGAATATGCATATGCCGGTAGGACTCGAATTTGAGATTTAGTCTAAACTATGATACTATATCGGATGCAAAATAAGCGTTTCACTTAAAGGCTCGAATATCGTTAGAAAAGATAACCATTAATTATTTATCCGCAAACGAAAATCCTTAAAAACGTTAATTATATTTTATGGAATCAATGGAGGTGTCTTGACGATGAGTCTGAGACTATGAATTTGTGTTTGATGAGAATATTGTATTTTTCTAAACACAGTCGTATTTTGTTCAGATGGAATGTGATTAAAATTTGTATTTTTTTTTTAAAAAAAATATTTATTTATTAAAAATGATGAAAAAAAATAATAATAACAAAAAAGTAATAATCTGGCATACTGATCATGAAATTTGTTGTCCATGTCTTATTGCCTTCAATCTGTTTGATGAAATTCCTAATTCACTGTGAACTTTGAGGTATTTTATAAGTGTGTAAATTTGATGTAGCCGATTATTAAGACGTCCTGCAGTCGGGATTCTTCAAGTGTTCCGTGGATAAACTTTTGGATGAATATAATAGTTTGCAAGCAAGATAAATTTGATATTTATATGGTATATATATATATATATTTGTTGAGTACAAAAAATAATAATAATAATAATAATGTATTGGGCTTACAAAATTAGATTGATGTATAGTTCAAGAGACCTGATGCGGAGGTCGGGCAAAGAAGATGTATCGGCAGACACGGAGGTCGGACAAGATAAGGTCGGGCAAAAAGAAGTATCAACAGACACGGAGGTCGGACAGGATAAGGTCGGGCAAAGAAGAAGGATGAGACGGCCGATACAGAGGTCGGTCAAAAGAGGAAGTCGGGCGAAGAAGGATGAGACGGCCGATACGGAGGTAGGTCGAAAGAGGAAGTTGGGCGAAGAAGGATGAGACGGCCGATGCGGAGGTCGGACGAAATGAAAGGTATGTTAGTTGGTCGGGCTAAGAAAAGGTCTGTTGGTTGGTCGCTTAACTAAGCAACCTGTTAATCGCCCGATCGATTAGCCGGTCACTTGGTCAAAACAGTAGTTCAGTTGCTTGAAAGGACGGTCAGTTGGTCGCTTGATTGGGCAACCAATGAATCGTCTGAACGAATGGTTGTTCAGCCGAGTGAAGGGACTAGATGGTGGTCGCTTGATTGGGCGACTAATGAATCGTTTGAACGAATGGTTGTTCAGCCAATTTAAGGGACCAGAGGGTGGTCGCTTGATAGGGTGACCAATGAATCGTTTGGTCTAGCAACCAGCTAGTATCTGGATTAGTGGGTTGGTCAATTGTTGGGTTATGCGGTAGGTTCAGTCGGTCGGCATGCAGTCCGTCTAAAGTATGTTGGGCAGTTGAGTACTAGCCGTCAATTTAAGGAGGTAAGGTGCCCTGAGACAGTCGGTCAAACCAGTTAAGTCCTGTAATTGGCATGAGCGGTTGGCAAGACGGTTAAGACACGTGTCAATGGAGGAGGAATTGGTGGGCAGTTGATAGCGGTTGCTGTAATCGACCAGACGACGGTTCAAAACGTTTCTTTGCCTTACTTCCTCTTTTGGCCGTAGCAGCAGGTGTGCTGGTCGGACGAAAAATAGTTCCCAGACAGTTGTGAGAAGTTATAACCGGCGAGCGGATATGAAGGCACGACTTGGATTGTGGCGGTTAACATAGATTTTAAATAAGTCTGTTCATGATCTAAAAAACCCATCTTCAATCGACATCAAATTCACTGGAATTTCTTTTGGGATACTTTTTCAGTCTGTAGTATTTATTTTCGTTTATTTATGTATTGTATAGTGTTTAGAGATGTTTAATCTCAGGCATTTATTTTATCAAATTCGAAGATAATTTATATTTTCGAATTTTACTTTTTATAGTTGAAAATCGGCCTCAACAATTTTATTTTTTAATAGGATATAACTTTTAAAAAATTTAAATACATATTTTTAATTTTTTTATTATATATATTAAATTTATTTTAAAACTGTCAATAATATTAATTATATAAAAAATAATAAAATAATATTATAATTCAATATTATAAATTGATTAATAATTATTATTTTAATATTGTGTCACTAATAAAAAAAATTAATTATCTTGAGACGGAGTAGTAAAAATGTAGGATGTGTTTATCTGTGGATTTGGGTTTTTGGATTTGAATTATTAATTGTAAAAAATTGAATTTGAATAGTTGTTTGATTTGATATAAATATGTGATTTGATGTTTTGAACGTAGAAATATTAGTATTATATTGGAATATAGTATAAATAAAGATAAAAAGACTAAATTAACCTTATTAGTATTGTATAATACAAAGGTAACATTTGTATAATATATTATAAATTGAGAGGATATTTGTAATACTAAGTAGATAGTATAATTACTAAAAAAAAAATTGAATAATGAGACGGACCAAAATGTAAAAATAAATAAATTGTTAAAGAATTAAAGGAGTATTATATTATAAAAATAAAAAATAATTATTTAATTTGATATATTAAAAAAAAAAAGATCCAATAGTTAAAACATCTGCTAAAACTCACAAAATAAGATATTAGATTTTTTTAGAAAAAATATGGAAATAAATTTAAAACTATAAAAGACTATTTGGTTTGTACGATAAAAAATAATTTGAATATTTGAATTTAATAATATTTTAATTTGTGCAATATTTTTATAATTTTTACTGTAAATTCTTTTAAATTGTAATGTAAAAAATGTTGGATTTTAAATAGGAGTACAAAACCATACAAACCCGTAAATAACGGGGAAAACTGATGTTGTTGTTGTGGGCCCGGAGATTTTGGTCCCCAGGCAAAAATGCAAACGGCATATTTTAGCGTTCACACTTGGCCTCGTATATCCCTCCAAAATACCCATTAATTAATAAGATCCTATTTATCTATACCACGCAAATCGAGGTCATCGATACGTGGCGAAATATAATTAGCCCACGTATCGCGCCCATATCAGTGCGCAGTAGAGTCCATCCTCTACTGGATAACAAACCACCTCCTCATATACAATGACATAGATATTAGATCATACGGAGTACTATTTAGCTCATTTTTGTTTGCTTACTCATTATTATTATTATTTTCTTTATATTAGTATTTAATTTTTAAATAAAATATTAATTAAAATTATATAGTTTAAGTAAAAATATAAATCATATTAAATAATATAAAAATATGTATGGAAAACATATAAATAAATAGGGGTGCAGAAAATTGAATCAAACCTTCGAACCGCTGAACCTAATCGAATTTTTGGTTAATCGAATAAATTTGATTTGAATACAAATATTACATATTTGATATTTGTTCAGTTCGATTCGGTTAACCAAATCGAATATATTTATATTATTATATTTTAAGATTTATATTAATAATTATATTTGGTTCGATTTCGGTTATTTGAAATATTTGCAAATATTTTTATTTAATTAGAATTTTAATTTTTTTTTTGGTTCGATTCAAATTATTTGCAAATATTTTCGGTTAACCAAAATGTTTTATTAGGATACAAATTGTGATTTTGGGTATTTATTTAGTTTGATTCAAATATTAAATACCTGCATATTTGCAAATATTCGAACTATGTCCACCCAGTAAACCTTTAATATTGAGAGGTGTACTTGAAGTTTTGTTTTAGTATGAGTAAAGAGATATTTAATACTCTCTCCGTCCCAAAAAAAAATGTCTTATTGAGAGTTGATACGAGAATTAAGAAATAATAGTATTTAATTGAAAGTGGGTATAAAGTAGAATATAAATTACTATAATTCCCTTGCTTTTCAAGGATTTTAAAGAGTATGTTAGAGTAATAATTATGGGTAGTATTGAAAAAGTTGGAATAATTTTATTATAAAAAGTGGGGACCACAACTACTAAATAATGAAACAAGACAATTATTTTTGAACGGACGAAAATGCAAAAACAAGACAAATCTTTTGGGATGGAAGGAGTGTAATTTACAAGGTGACATATGGCTATTGGTATTGATTTGATCCAATCAATAATGTGTTGATTAGAATAAGCTAGTAAATTCAATTGATGCAAGTAAAAATTATGATCAAACAAAAAATATATTATTAAATTAATATATTAATTTAAAATAATTAGCAAATCATCACAAAATTTGACAATTCGGCAGCATTATACCCGAAGAATTATGTAACTATTTATTTTCTTATATATATATATATATATATATATCGCACACTGGTGTGCCAAATGAGATTAGACCTAAATCTTTAAGAATGTAAGTAATGAACAATAAATATATATATATACAAAAAAAAGTTACAAAACGTACCTCGTGCTTATTTAGTGATTTATTTATTTATTTGGCATAAATGATAATATAAATTTGATGTTTTATAAAATAAAATAATATATTTCATAAGTAGTTAAAAAAATTTATATAAAAAATAAAATTTTCAAAGTAAATCGAGCTTCCTAATAGGTAATATAATCTATGTAGATATAAATAAGATTATGTGAGGGTTGATATTTAAATCGAACAAAAATAAAAGGACACCACGTTAAAATATTGTGAAAAGACAAAGACCCCACAACCACAACAATCCCATCACTATTTTAGATTTCTTGTTCAACATAATTCATCATTTAAATGAGATGAGTTTTCCGACAGATTTTTGTGTCCTTTTCTTTATCAAATCATGCTTTTAACAATATTATTGTAACACAAGTACTATTATTTTCATATAAGATATAAAATAATTAATAAATGTAATATTTTTTAAAAAAAATTCAAAAAGTTATTTATTTATATGTTATAAACAATGTTGATAATTAAATAGTAGAAATTAAATAAAAAATGTATAGACACTTTGGTATAATATCATTTTTGTTACTCTCATGAATCCGTTCTTTTAATAATCTTTGTTCTTATTTCTTTATTACGCACTTTCAAAATGACACTGGTGTTTCTATGTTCTGTTTTATGATATAAATATTCCAACTTTATTTTCCTAATGATCTAAATCCAATCACTACTCCTAAGTGCATTATTAGTAAATTTAAATATTTATTTTTTATTTTTATTTTTATATTTATATTATATTAAAATTGAATTATACATTCAAAGATCAATTTATATTTATATTTCATAAAACATATTCTTAATCCAAATTTTATTATTCTTAACCCTTGTGTTCTTGAACAACACACTACCTTCATTTTAAGTTGCATTGACGTTTGTTTTCTTAGCAACGAAGAACTTTGCAATTGTCGTTCTTCGAGTACCCACTAGGGTGTGTTTGTTTGGGGGTTTAAATTTTGAACTGAAATTTGCACGATAAAAAATTTGAATTTCAATAATAGTATGATGCTATATAAATAAGTATTGATATAATGTTTTGAATATAAAATTGATTATTAGTACTATGTTTTAATGTCACGGTAGTCACGAGAATTTCGAAGAGGTATGTTTAATCAACAATTAAAAATGTATTAGTAGAAGTAATTATAATATAATAAAAATAATTATATTTTAAAATTAAAATAATTAATTACTATAGTTAAAATATTAAAAATTTGAAATTTTTAAATATTATTAAAGCGTAATACATCTTCAAGAAATGAAAATGATATGGACGGAGAGAAATGAAAAATGTAACATGCTGGATGAAGAAAGTATAATATAAAAAATAAAAATTATGTGTTTCATTTGTTATTTTCGAAGAAATGAAACACACCCTAGTTAAACATAATAATATACTTGCCTAGACAATGGAGAAAATTAATATTGAAATAAGTTTTTGTAATATAAATAAATATATATATATATATAATTTAGTAATTTCGAAAGAATGGAAAATGTAATAAATACGGCTAGACTATACCGGCACGACAAATAGACCCCAACCCCAGTAAAATGAACCAGCCATTGTTTCCTTCGCTACGCATCTAAGACAATTTTATTAGAACCTACTTCATTATAAAATCATTTTGGGTATCAAATTTTAATATTGTGGATAAGATTGAAGTAAAATTGATCGATATTGGAAGCGATGAGACCACGCCGACTATAAAACAAACCCACACTTCCCCCCGCACTCGCAAGGCGCTCACCACCCACACGCCCAATTCCTCCTCTCTTCAATTTCTCTCTCGGAACTTCCGACCATGGATCCATACAAGGTACCGATTTCAATCTCTCAATTTGCTGTCATCTTCTGATTTCAGGTTTAGATGCGAAGATCGTCCGATCATATGCTGATTAGGTTTTGAATAGATTGATTTCGTTGGATTTTGTCACTTTTGATTCGATTGATGCTTGATTTTTGCATATTTTGGTGTTTGTTTGATTATGTTGTGATGTTTTGTTTTTTGTTGTTTGATTGATTGATGGCGATGCAGCACCGTCCGTCGAGTGCGTTCAATTCGCCTTTCATGACCACCAACTCCGGAGCTCCGGTGTGGAACAATAACAACTCCTTGACTGTTGGAACCAGAGGTGTGGTTTCTTTCTTTCTTTCTTAGTTCTTTTCTTTCAATTCGAAGTTATTTGGATCGGATTTAGGTTGAATCGAATTAGCGATTTATATGTATCAGGCTATATGTTGGATTACTGAATACTGATATTGAGAGATCTAAATCAGATTTAATACAAATCAAGGATTATAATGAATGCATAAGCAACCTTTTGTAATTGAATGTGTTATTCGGCGGCAAACCTTTCCTAGATTTATTTAATGGTTAACTCAACTATACGCCATAGTTGAGATTGCTTCACCTATTGGAGTTTGATTGAAATTTTTTTTTTTTGTTCATAAATTGATATGCCTTAAATCTAATTTGTTATCTCGCTGCCTTTTTCGCGGGTCTCGCAGCCCGGTCAGCGAGTCGGGGTTCAAAAGGGGAGAAGTCCCCCTTGCCCAAGTCCGGGGGCGTAGAGTGGCCCCCGGCTCAAAGGTATGCAGTATTGGGCTTTTGAGTTCGTATCGGATTGAGTCCGTCCGATGTATCCTCATAAATCCGTTTTTCGTTTCTTCGTGTATCTCTGTGTTTGTTATTCGATCACTAATTCTAATCCAGTACAACACATAACAACAAAAACATCTAGAATTATAAACACTAATCAGACACACTAGTTTTCTTGAAGTTACTTGCATTTGGTTGATCTAATGAAGTGCTGGTGTAACTACAGGGCCAATCCTCCTTGAAGATTACCACTTAGTCGAGAAACTAGCAAATTTCGACCGCGAGAGGATTCCAGAGCGTGTTGTCCACGCTAGAGGTGCTAGTGCTAAGGGCTTCTTTGAAGTTACCCACGACATTTCTAACCTCACCTGTGCTGATTTTCTCCGAGCTCCTGGAGTTCAGACACCAGTTATTGTTCGGTTCTCCACCGTCATCCATGAGCGTGGAAGCCCCGAAACTCTCCGGGACCCTAGAGGATTTGCTGTCAAATTCTACACTAGAGAGGTATAGATGTCATGTTTATGACAAACCCGTACTTCGGACACTCTTTCATGCTTAATTTCTTGAGGCTCCCTTTTGTGGTTGTCAGGGTAACTTCGATTTGGTCGGTAACAACTTCCCGGTCTTCTTCATCCGTGATGGGATGAAGTTCCCGGACATGGTTCACTCGTTGAAACCCAACCCGAAGTCCCACATTCAAGAAAATTGGCGAATTTTGGACTTCTTCTCCCACCATCCCGAGAGTCTGCATATGTTCAGTTTCTTATTCGATGATGTTGGTATTCCTCAAGATTACAGGCACATGGACGGGTCGGGGGTCAACACCTACACTCTAATCAACAAAGCTGGGAAAGTGCACTATGTGAAATTCCACTGGAGGCCTACTTGTGGGGTCAAATCCCTGTTGGATGATGAAGCTATTCGGGTCGGAGGAAGTAACCACAGCCACGCCACTCAGGATCTGTATGACTCAATTGCAGCCGGCAACTATCCCGAGTGGAAGCTTTATATTCAGATCATCGATCCTGCGGATGAGGACAGATTTGATTTCGACCCCCTGGATGTGACCAAAACCTGGCCTGAAGACATCTTACCTTTGCAGCCGGTGGGTCGGATGGTTTTGAACAAGAACATCGATAATTTCTTTGCTGAGAATGAGCAACTGGCATTTTGCCCTGCTATCATTGTTCCTGGAATTTACTACTCTGACGACAAGCTGCTCCAAACTCGTATTTTTTCGTATGCCGACACTCAGAGGCACCGCCTGGGGCCAAACTATTTGCAGCTCCCGGCTAATGCACCTAAGTGTGCCCATCACAACAATCACCATGAAGGGTTCATGAACTTTATGCACAGGGATGAGGAGGTAATTCAGTTAGGACTTAATAATAGACTACATACATTAATTGTCATTCGTATTCTGTTATATCGACACCTTTAGCCTGACTTTTTTTTTTTTTTTTTTTTTACAGGTGAACTATTTTCCTTCAAGGTATGATCCTTGTCGGCATGCTGAGAAGTACCCAATTCCCTCAGTGACATTGTCTGGAAGACGTGACAAGGTACGTTGTTTCAGTTCACCATAAATTTATGTAGATGTTCAATATCTTCTTTTCTAGAGAATTAAACTATTGTTTAAGATAGACTCTCATAGCAGGAATGATACCTAAGGCTAAGATTGTTATGTATATGTAGAATCTTGTTAAGATGAGTAAGTTACGACTCCTGATTTTTATATACTTTGTTGATTATTAGATCTGCATCGAGAAGGAGAATAACTTCAAGCAGCCAGGAGAGAGATACAGATCCTTTGATCCAGCCAGGTACCTTAGAACCGGCAATGTTTTAAGAAACATATGTTTTTTAGGTTTTTGAACAGGAAGAGTAAGTTTCATGTTTTTTTCTCGTAATTCTTGTTCAGGCAAGAGAGATTTATTAAACGATGGATTGATGCTTTATCTGACCCTCGTCTCACTCATGAAATCCGAGCTATCTGGATTTCATACTGGACTCAGGTATGATAGATATACTTGAAATGCTCTATATTTGCTGTGATGTTGAGAATCAATGCAAATTAAAGTGCAAAATTCATACTATACTGACCTGCTTTAAATTTGTGATGCAGGCTGACAAGTCTCTTGGTCAGAAACTAGCTTCTCGTATGAATGTCAAGCCAATGATGTGAAGATCATGAGAAACCTGCAGAGCAAGGGCTATGTGGATAGAGGTGATCTCATGTGTTTGGAATTCGAGAGTTTTCGTTGTGTGCAATTTGTGACAACAGACTCTTTTGTGTAATCTATGCGACGATATACTGTGATGCCAATAAATGAGGGATTGTTCTACTTATAAATTTGCTCACTATGGTTCAAATGCTATCATAGTATTAATGTGGGTCTCTAGTTATTTATCATTGGTGCATCACTGGGTTTTTGTTGATTGTTCTATCATTCTTCCAAAAATCGGGAGTTCCAAGGTTTATATTATGGCTTGTGTTGCTATAGGACCTTTCATCTTCTTAAGATGACAGGTAGTTTGGAGTTGAAGTTTATTCATGGTTGCTCAGGCCTGTTGGAGAATTTTGCATCAATTTTTAAATCTGAAAAATCAATTGTAGATTTTGAATCTATGTTATTTTCAGTGTTTTTGGATATTTTGAAATGTTTTAGATTCAGAATATTTGGTAGATTTATCTAGTGAATAAATCCTTTCCAGATATGGTTATGAGAATAAGCTGCTAGTGTTCTTGTCAAGGAGCAACCAAAATCTATTGTATTTGTTCCCTAACATGGGTTTAGATTCAACTATCCTATACAAGTTTCACCATGCCATGGAATCATTATTATGTAATTATCATATGATTCTTAAATCAATGTACACAAGGGATAGAGAGAACTCACAAGTATGTTGTAGTTGCCGGTCACCCACGAAGACGCATCTTGGAGCTACAGCCCGAGACTCTCTCTTCTGTATCATGACAACAATGTGTTTTTTCATCGATCAACCACATGCTTTGCCAAGAAGATAAAAGTGCAATAGACCCTAATGAAAAGCCTATATGAAGTACAATAGAATTGGGATATAATAATCAGTAGCTTTAAACAAAGATGAACAAAGAAGTATATCAAGTTTTGAGATCTGTATAGTACAACAATGCATTTATTTTTCAAAGGATCAAGGATTCTAAGCAGGATTTGCCATACACAATGGGATCAACACTAATCCATTCTCCATCATTTGATTACAACAGTTTTCATCATCTATTTGTCAAAGGATAGAGGATTTTAGCATTATGCGGCATTCAGGGGCAGTCTTATAGAAGTACTGGAAGTTGAAAATGCTGATGTAAAGATATGGCTACCGTCTCTAAGAGGAGGCAAAATAGAGACTAACAACATGTTTAAGCTACATACCAGTGAGAGTGCTGATTTCTAAACATATTCTGCATGTTTAAGCTAGTGGAGAATTGAAGGTTCATTCAAAGAGTATCAATATGAACAGAAACAATCCTGTATGCGCTTGAATGATTTACAATATAAACGATCATTGCCTGTGATGATGTAAAGGACATCAACTGTTCAGGTTGGATCAAGTGTTGAAAGCAACTCTATGTAATTAACAAAAGTTTATATGTTGTTCAACAAATCAAGTTTAAAAGTTGTCTTACTTCGTTAAACAGATTTTGTCTGTTGAATAATTGTAGCCTAGCATTATGAATCAAAAACTTAGATCAATAGATTTATTAAATAACCAAAAATTTCTAAGTACTTTATTACCTTACTGTCTAATCACCAATAGAATAAAAGACTAATTAACATCTAAGACTGAGAATTTAAATTTATCCATTTAATCTAATCTTTATAACTCAACTCCTTCAGCTTTATAAAAAATTCTAATATATCTCAACACCAAAACTCAGAAGATCTTTATCTGCCCCAACTACTATAGGCCATCGCTAAATAGTCCACAATAAACAAAAGCTTCTCAAAGCTTCCGATCAAACAGCCGGGGATCACAACTCTCTAATATATATGAATTGTCGCAGTGAAATCGTGCACGATAAAAGCCTCTTGCAGTATTTCAGAACAGAAGATCTTCAAAACATTGCTTGAAAAGCTTATGATCGTACTCCGTAAGACTATTAATGCTTCAGATAAGAAGTTAATCTAGCTAGTTAGTGACTAAGGATTCGGATCATATTTAGCTCTAATATTAAAACAGAATCCAAAACTTATACAATAATAGATCTGAAATTTTAGTCATATGCTATAATCTCACTGCAAAAAAAATAAAAATATTACCACAACCATTAATCAAACGTTTATCGCAGCACCTCTATGCCGGTCGAAATGAAGGACTCGATCATTCGTTCTGCAAGCCACCAGAAACAGAGAGAAATCAACCGAGCTGTTATCTAATTAAAAATTCTCCACCACTGAATACAAAAATTCATTCAAACAACAGACCAAACCTTGTACTTCATCTTCTCATTTCACTCCTTCCGCCAAATGCACCAAAAAAACAAGAAGAAGCAAAAACTGCTCCGAATACAAGTAACAATTGAACTCTGCAGAGCGGAAAGCGGAAGAAACATTTCGTCGAACAGTAGGTGCGCCGAACACAGAGAGAAAAAAAGGAATCCAATCAACGGTTACATAGCTTCCATGCAATCACATGGAGAGCGATTGAGGAAAAATAAATAAATAAATATTTTTTAAAAATGCCTGAATCGGAAGAAGCCAAGGGGTGAATTTTATAGAACATATTTTTCGTGGAATACAGTAGAAAATACATAAAATAACTGAATTGGAGTTGGGCCCCTCTATTTTGTGTATATTTCATTCCACCCCACAAATTATTGAATATCCATTTTGCCGCCTCCAACGATTTTCTAACCCCTTTACATTTACAAGGGTATTTTTGTATTTTCGCATAGTGATCGGAATTCTTTTGTTTACAATGATGGTTTTGACCTTATGCGTCGGCTGTGGACCTCGAGGGATATTTTAGTAAATTAAGCACGTTCTCTTCTATTTCTTTCATCCATCGAATCTATATTTGTCCATTAACTGGTGTTTCGTGTGTCTTAAATGAACATAACATTTTATTTCTTTTTCATTTTTTCATTTATAATTATTAAATTAATTTTATATTTTGTGTAAATATGTTATAGTATAAAATATTTTAATTTTAATTTTTTTATTATTTTTAAATTTGAAATAAACTTTCAATTTCCAAACTTATAATAGAGTCGGATACATTTGAAATTAAACATTGTATAAATAAATTTTGAAGAAAAAAAAAATACTTCTAACATTGTATAAATAAATAGTTAATGTGAAATTTTAGAGATTATAACACAATATTTATATAAATATAAAAGTATATTCACTTTAATTGTTATAAACATACATCATTCTTCAAAAATATTATTTAAAAAAATACAATATAACACATTTAACAATGTTGACATTATTATTTATTAACACGGCCGTATGTATTCAAATAATACATTGGTATTGTTGGCCCTGGTTCGTCCAATATACTTTCAATAATACTACTTCTTTTGTTATGTAACTAAATATTTATTTAATTTTTGCACGTTAATATTTAAATATTAATTATCATATTAATATATTACAAAATAAGAAAAAATGACAAAAATATTTCTACTAATGTCTTCTAATACTAATATAATGATATTTGTACAAAAACTTATATAAATACATGGAATGGAAAGAATATTATTCATGAAATAAATCAAAATATGGAGTATTATTCAAATACGTAAGTAGAATTACTGCTGATTTTTTTTTTTCCTGAAAAAAAAATACTAATAATATGTAATTAAAGATTAAAAAAAATCTAAATTCAATATTTACATTTTTTATATCATATACAGTATATCAAAATAATTCGTGGGAGATAAGCACGAATATGCTTTTATTTATACTTTTTTTTTTCCTATCTTTTCTTATTAAATTTAAATTAAATTTATTTTATACAATTTCAAGTCAGCATCAAACTTTTTTTTATTATTAAAATAATACTTATTTTTTTTAATTTTTTTTTTTAAAATCAAATAGAAATATTATTTAATAAATCAATAATTTTATTTCAAATAAATTCAAGACCACAACGAAACAACTGAAAAGGATTATGACGCCGGATCACACAGGGCGACCCATGCAGCAGCAGCAACAATGCATGCCCACTTTTCCTAGTGGCGCGTGGGCCCTACGCTCCATGATTATCCTTGTGCGGGCGGCGGGGCTTCCTTCAATGAACTGTGTTTGTCATTTTGATATTGTTTTTTTAATGAATATCCGACACCACCATGTGATCTTACTGTTTATCATAATTATCTTTATTAATGTAAAATTTATTATGTCTATAGGATTTATTTATTTAATTTAGCATTTGTTTAAATGTTTGTTTTTGCACCTTTTGTTCGTAAATTGCAAGTATTTTTATTTTGAATTATTTAATTATAAAATGATTATTTTAAAATATTTTATTTCCTTTTTTTTCATATTTTTTTATTTATTTATTTTTTGTACAAAATTTTTAAAATATTAAAAATATATTAAATATAGTAAAAATAAAGCTAAAAAATAAAATGAAATTAATTTTATTTCCGTTGTTGTTTGATATAAAATAATAATATTTGTATAATATATTGTAAATTAAAAATGTATCTGTAATATTGGATAAATAGTAAAGTTATTAAAAATAAAAATTAATAGTTTGTTACCGGATAAACCCAAATAAAAAATAGAATATATTGTTAAGGAATGAAGAAAATATTTATTTTATAAATATCTATATTTTATTATATTATTATTTTTTTACACTAAAAAAATAAAAATAAATAATGTGTTTTTTTAACCACCAAACTTCAGTTTTCTACTATTTGAATTCTATATTTTTCGTAAAAATAGTAATTTTATTCTCACAAAATATCTTTAAATACATTAAGGAAGCAACGTCCCACCCACCGTTAGGATTCCTATTTTAATATTAGATACAAACCAAAATTTTTCTCAAACTTATCAAAAAGACACACCCGAATATTTTTATATTATTTTTAATTATTAATTTAATTAAAATACTATCATTTTTTAAAATATACTTCTTTCATCCCATTTTTTATGTTCGATTTACCTTAAATATGAGATTTTAAGTAAAATATAATTAATAAATAATTTAAAATTATATTAATAAAAATAATTATTATATAATAAAATTAATAATAAATTAAAATTAAAATAACTAATAATATAATTAAAATTTTAAAAATATGAATGTATAATCATATTTCTTATAAAAAAAAAAAAAAAAAAGAAACAATAAAATAATGGACTGAAAAAATGGAATAAAAAAAAAAAAGAAAGTTACTAATAACAAACCAAACGCGGCCTTAAACTGAGATCCAACGGAAGACAGGTGTTATCCAATTAGGTTACACATCATAACGGGAGAGCCCGGGACCTGTGGACCCAAGGTGGAGACTTTTCCCCGGGCATTGTTGGCGATATCTGCCACGTCAGATAATATCCAAATAATTGTGGGGCGAAAATCCGGGCCGTCCAATAATCGCCATTAGCTGGTGATAAAACCTAGAAAAGATGGGATAAGGTTATGATTTGGACGTTTGCAAACGACGTCGTTTTGGGTTCATCAAGACTTTTCAATGGTACAATAATTTAGAAGCAATTAGGAATTTCCACAAATGCCAAAATATTGAGGAATTATTTGTGATTTGATGAATATATAATATGTTAAAAATTGTGGAAATTAAGAATATCATTTATGACGTCGGTTAGTAAATCACATTCTCGAAACTGCAATATCAACTAAAGAAAAAATGAATTTGAACTAAATAAAAATAACTACTACAAAAGTTAGCCAAAAAAAGTTAAATATATACTTCAATAAATTTATACGCCATAAATTAATTATATAAAATATTTTATAAATTTATATATAATTAAATTTTAAATTTATAGTATATAATGAAATATTTTATTTATCTGTTTTTTTTTAATATAATAAAAAGAATTGTTTAAATGAGTTGAGCATATATTTACATGAAGAATGAAATATTAAATTTAAAAATAATAATATTTTAATAGTTGATTAAAAGATGTAAGATAGTTTTTATATTTTTACTGTACTTTATATATAAAATAATGTAAAAAATAAAATATATTTGATATATGTTTGTAATTACTTTTACTGTAATAAAAAATTAATAAAAAAAATAATCCTTTCAATTAGGACAAAAATAGTATATATAAACATATTAAAATAAACTTCATTTATCCAAAAAAAATTGTATCTATCACCCGTTAAGATTATGAACAGTCATATATAATAAATAATTTTTATTTATCTATAATTTTATTACTCTATGAAAAATAATAATCAATTTGATATTTTTTTTTATTTACTAGGATCCTTCACTACCTTTTTATCATTTTATTAAATAAATTTTTTATAATACTTTTATTTTATTTTTTATCTATTTTATTTTAATAGTATAATATATTGTTTTTCAGTTTCCATATTAAACCAAATCTACTACCTAATTTTATAGACGAAAGAAACATAAAGCATGACTGGAAAAATCAAGCAAACGTGCTAATGACGAAAAGTAAGATATGAAATATATTGCTATGTGTACGGTAAGACTTGTTTTAAATTGTCGTTATAATTGCTTAGAATTTTATACGTATGTACGTACTGTATTACGATATTATATACATATATGACTGTATTCTTTTTTCGAAAAAAAAAATATATATATTTTAAAAAATTAATATATTATACGTATTTATTTATTTTTTATTATTTATATAAATTTTTATACTTTATATAAAAAAATATTTTTTCAAACTATTTTACAAAACAACATACCCTATATTGCATTTAAATTTATATACTTATATATATATATTTACTATCTTAAAAGAAATAATATTTTTTTAATAAATAAAAATATTAGAAAGATTTAATGATTTTATTTTTTTGCAAATAGCTGTTGTTATTGTATTGAATTAAAAAAAAAAATAACATAAAATGACAATACGGCGATATAATTAAACATATGTATCTCCGTTTAATTAGAAAATAAATTGCTACTTTAGAGTAGAGTTTAATAAATTAAAAGTAGTATAAAGATAATTGTTATTTTCAGTGTAAAAGTAATGGTAAAATAGGATTATTTATAAAAACAAAAATAAAATATTTTTAAAATAAATAATTAATAATTGAATAATTCAAAATAAAAAACATATATTTTTTTTAAATTAGCTAATAAAGTAATAAAATATAGTTGAACTGACATAAGATAGTCTTACATGTAACACATATTAGGATTTATTTTGGCATAAAAATATATATATAAGTATTAATTGTCAACATATACTTTTATTTGTGGTTAACAGTAACAAATTGATATTCTGCAAATATATGTCCCAATTTATATTAAAAATTTGTAAGTGTCTAAAATATATTATCTAAAATTTTAAAATATTTTACTATTATTACTTTTATTATAATATAATAATATTTATATGTAATTGATAAAAAATAATTACATATATATTTGGCATAAAGAATGAATTATTATTTATTGAGAAATAATTTTTCATACAAGTATTGAATGAAAATGTGAAATAAATAAATAAATATTATCAAGAAAAAGCAAATAAAACGAAGGTTGAGACC